AAAGTACTTTGTGTTAGAAAACCCCAGCTGAATCCATTGTGGTTGCATGTGCAACTCCGTGCAATTAAAAATATGGACTTTGCTTAAAAAAGGGCCTTCATTCATGAGTTAGTGTGCCAGCACTAATGAAGCCCCCCCGCTGGGTCTTCTGACACTGCCGTTCTTAGACAAAAAAAGAAGCACTCAGACATCAATTTAACTTCCAGCTAAGACACACAGTCATCGGCTGAGAAACAGGACAGAGCTCTCACCAAAGAGAGAAGCAAAAGTCTACACATTATTCAGAAGGGTTTAAAAATGCATAATAACGTCATTATTGGATATTTTAACATTTGTAGACAACGAAAAAGCCTGCATTTCACTCTAAACTATTATGGTTTGAGCAATTAAGCCATAATCAGATTGATCCGTCTCATCAACAGATGGGAAGGTAGATCTGGATGTGGTGTGTCACATCCCTTAGAAAATGGAGTGGCAAAGTAAATAGCTAATGCAAAATTGAATAGACGAAAGATCCACATTTTAACATCGAATCAAAACATTCTGAAATGATTTGGAGGTTAGGGAAAAATTTGCATTTTTAGTGGCTCCATTCAGTGTAGTGAGTGGAGGAGCCGCTCTGATTTTCCCATTAAGCACTACTTACTGCAGGTTGGACACCAACTATTTCACACAAGCCCAATGGAGAAAAAAAAACTTTAAACATCAGCACAGCTCTGAGACTCTCTGCTCTCAGCTGTATTTGAAGAGCGTCACACTCAGAGGAGTTCCTCCCAACAGAGTGGGACTTAAACTGAAAATAAGTTAAATAAATTTGACACATAAATAATGTATGAGATCATTCATATCATGAGAAATGGGAGATTATGCCTTTAAATAATGTTGCATATGATCATTTGCCAAATAAATCTCTAATGTAACTATCATTTTAACCTGGCGGGCACTAGGAGAACACGTTGTTTGCTTTACTCCTGAGTGCATAATACATTTGTTATACAATTCATTTGAAATGGTCAATTCAGGTGAAGAAGTAAGCTTTTTTTCTGTTTTATTTTCTAAATGAATCACGGTTATTGTAAAGCACAAAAATACAAACCTTCAGTAAAGTGACTATTCGCTTCTAACCCTGAAAACATGCAGGGAATATTAATATAACATAATGTAGGTTAAAATGAATATATGAATAATAATAAATACATGGATAAAGAGTAATACTAGCAGTTAACTTTGGTTGCAAAAGCATTAAAATGCGACCTAACAGTGATGGCAGATTGAGTGAGTTCCATTTTTTTCTGGAAACAGACAAAGTGTCTTTGACTTGAAACAACAGTTTATGGTGCAACTTTAGTAATTTAACATTTTGATTTGTTCCTTTGTTACAGTGAACAGAAACCTGTCTTATCACGATTTGAATACAACTCTAAGATTTTAGTTGGAGACTTTGAATCTTCTTCATTTTCTCTGTGTCAGAAACAGATTTCCCACTCGTGCAGTCACATCCCACTAAGTGGGGGGGTAGGAGCTCTGTGACCACACAGCATCACTGCAGAGATAAGGAAAAGAAGGCAAAGAAAGACTATGAATTTTCCTCCAGATGCCCCCCACCTTTTCCAAATTCTTGGAAAATCAAGTCTACTAACATACTAATTTAGAAAGAATTGCATTAAATAGGCTGTAGAGGCGTTCGTTCACGAGCGTGAATGAAAAAGATGAGCCGTCTGCACATTTTGAGAAACGCTTTAAAGCGTCTGTGGTGACACATTGTACATATGAGTGGAAATGTGCACACTGTTGCTGTTTCCCCGTTCGCATGATGCTCCAGTTCCATCAGTCACATCACAGCGACTCCCTGGTCCCCACCATCCTCCCCACGGTCATTCATCACTGTGCCACTCAAACGCTGATTCGGGTCCCTGGAGCGTCTTGCTAATGTTCTCTGTGTGCGTGTGTGAGTCAGTCATGTATGACTGTATGTATATTTGGGTGGGTCTGCATGGATTCTTATGAACACATGTTTCTTTTTCTTTCTTTTTTTTCTATTTTCTGGCTGGCTACTGTCTTGTTTTCCTTTCTCTTCGCCCTGAGACGGCTCGGGAAATAGGAAGGTGTGCTGGTGCAGTGACGGAGTGAGGAGGGAGAGACCAGGCCGGCGGAGGGGAGAAGTCTGGAGGAGCTCAGGCAGAGGGCAAAGAGGATGACAGCCCCTTCTGGTTGCCTTTCTGTCAAGATGATTATCTTTGAACACAGCTTGAGGTGAAAGACGTGTCGCGCTACACTCACGACGGTCGCTAAGGGGACTTAGATTGAGCCTCGCTGGGCTCCGTGGGAGGGCGGAGGATAGCTAGTTTTTCGCATGAACACTTAAAGATTCAACAGTGTAAATTTTTCCCAAAAGTCACGTGTCTTCCTGGCAGACATGAGCTGGGGAACTGCTCACTTGTAGTTTCGCTGTGGCTCACTGCAGTATGGATCAGCTCCAGGGGAAGCATCTGTCGAAAGGCGTGAATAGATAATCACTACAGCCTGTTACGATCCAGAATTGTTGTTTTTCCAATTAGCTTCTGTGCATTGAACATCTGTCTGGAGGAACATGAAGACATTAATCCCAACAGTAACTGACACACACCGAAAAGTTCGGCTGAGAACAACAACACCTCTGACCAACAACAACACAATAAATACACAACAAAGAGGTGATCCGTACACGTCAAACCTGACTGCAGCTAGCCTGCATTGTGCGTGTTTCAGTGTGGTCAGTTTGGAGGTCAGCTGCAATCAGCGAGACGGCTTGAACGGCAGAAAAATCAGCCATTACTCATTCGAACGGGGCCGGCTACTTCACGATACGCGTGGGCACGTGACCGTCACCAGCCCCCGGTTCCAGAGAGGTCAGCAAAGGTGACCACGGGCCAGTCTGCCCGAGCGTGAGCAGACTGGACTGAGAGAAGTGTAGAAGGTCTTTACTATTTATGGGGTTCGCATCCTTCTTTTGGCGCTCCCGAGTCGGGATTTAACATCCCGTGCGCAGCACACTGTTTGCTCATCTAACGGAGCCAAAGCTCTCTTTAGAGTTGCTTATTTCAAATTGTAATGTGTGCAACGCTCCAGCATCTGTTTGCCAAAGTACTTTGCTCATTTATGTCGTTAACATTTAATAAGGTTTCCATTTTCAGGTCGGCTGCCGTGGCGCTAAGCAATAGCTCCAGCCTCTTAGCTCCCACACTCTCTTCTGCTCGCTGTATCAGATGTCGTGAAATTCCTCTACTTCCTTTAACCTTTTAAATTGCACTGATTATAAATGCGCACAATAGCCTTGGTAACAAGTTCCACTGGCAAAACCCCTCTCCAGCTTACTCCTGTTGTCACCCAGCAACCGAGGCAAAACTTTGAGTCGATCTGTGGTCCGATCACACCATTCGGGTGAGACACACGTGTGTAAAAATGAAGATAACATGAAGCAGTGACTTCAAAATGTGCCAGAGGACGATATTTTTTTTCTTCTCCTGTCTGTTTGTGGACACACTCTTTTACTAGAGTCTCCATACAGCAGTAGAAAGCCCTGCAACCCTTCCCTAGATAAGATCCTGATATAAACTGTGCAGAGAGGGAGGGAAAAAAACAGGCGGTGGCCCACATTATAAATGGTTCTCTATGTTTATCACTGACTCTCACATATTATGAACATTCTGTAGTCAACACAGATAAAATAACATCCGATCAACAGCACACACTCTGCTTCTCATAAAAAATTGTTTAGCTGTTCTCTCGTCAATTTCCCCTCTCAAAATTTCTTTGGCAGTCCAGCGTCTACGTGCATTGTTGCATGGATCCCGCTGGGATCATTTCACGCTCAGCAACGTGAGAATACACAAAACATTGTTCCACTTGTAACAAAGGCAATGTCAGATCGCTGCTTCCCTGAAAGACGCATTAATCTGTGCCTGGAAACTGTCGGAATAAATCTTTTGTGCCAACATTATCAGCTAAGTTATGAGTTGTGAGACAGTACCGATGATACAGACCGCCCAAATCTGTCTTGTTTTTGTTTTTGCGATTGCTGTAAACACACCAGGCCAACGATGGGCTGACGATGAATAAGCTTTGGCAAACTTGCAATTTTTAGACCTCTTTTCAGAATCTTTCATCACCTTTTTGCCAAAGAAAAATGGGGCAACCTTTTGAACTAGCTTTTATTGCATTCTGCGCGGTCTGGCCATGGGGCTGCTCCTCAGCTTCACGCACATTTCACCGGTAAAAACGCAGACTTAACTGCGGTTGCTCTTCGGGGGGTCGCCCGGATTCCCAAAAAACCTCAAAGTGTCGCCACACAATTTGTAGCGACGTGTGTAGCAGTCAATGAAAAGAACAGGCAATAAGCTAAAAGTGCTTGGTTAAACACAGTTGTAATGTTTTGAGTACAGAGCTGTTTGGAATGAGCACCGGGCCGTATCAGTGCTAGACCAATGAAAGTAATGCAGACATGGTGTTCAGGCTGATGGATTACACGACTCGGGCCTCTGCCAGCAGCAGACCAGCAGAGCGAATGCCTCCAAAAAGTCAGCTACGTTTTAAACGGCCGTGTAGATGATTTGTTGGAACGACTCGAGACTTGCAAACATCAAAGACGCCTCATCGAGGAAGTCTTTCAGCATTTCGTTCGTCTCTTGAAGAAATTACAAGATTTATGTTCGGAAAAACACGATTCTGCCATTAAGGCCTCGGTGTTTCCGTTTTCCAACATCAGCCCAGAGTCGGTCAACCCTGAGCCCGTCGATGCAACAAGTGGAGGCGGAGAGGGCTCCACTTTGTGCCAGAACTCGCTCGCTTTACGCTGCCACAAAGCAGTTCTGCAGCGCTTCCTTCTCAACGCAACAAGAACAACAAAAAACAAACCGGAATCACATTCACTTTTCGGCGGCCCGGCTCCGGTCGGTGAGCTCTGCTGTTACGAGCACAGAACCGACATAACGGACACCTCTCGCCTTCAAACCTAATTAGAGTCAGATAACGCCTGCGAGAACACAGATACCAGTGCGTCCCGGCTGAGATTTCCCGCTCTGTGGACGATTCAGCAGAGAGCCAAACATCCCTCGAACGAGGTCGTAAAAATGAAAATACTCGACTGCAGAAATGAGGGTGGAAACACAACGCTTTGGAACTGGAATACAACTGAACGGACTACTGCATGAGGGCTGAGGACCACAAGGAGGTAAATGAATCTGAAGTTCAAGAAGCAACATGTGAAGCAAAACATGACAGTAGCGAGACCCACTTCAGGCTCCCGGCCGTGCGCAGTGGGAGGGAAAAACAGCTACCAGCAGACAGCGAGTATTTTTCTGTGCAACAAAAAAATAATAGAAACATGCTCCTCTCTCTCTGAAAAAGCGCACAAAGCTCCGGAGAACGAAACGCCAGAAAGCTCCCGAGTAAGTTACCGATCGGAAAGCAGACTTGAGACCGGCTCTGAACGCAGCAGGGCTGACATTTAAAAGAAGACACGGGGGTGGGGGGGGGGTCACTCACAGTTCTGAAGTCGCTGTGGCTGCAGTCCTGGCCTTGGTAGCGGCAGTAGAGCATCATCTCCCTCAGGTCGTGGCCCACCCGGTCCATGAACTCCTTCATGCTGAAGGCCTTGGGCCTGTAGGCCGTGAAGTTGGTCTTCTCGCGCAGGGAGGCCAGCACCTCGGGCTCGGCCAGCTGCGGCTGGGGGATGTCCAGGTGCACGTCCAGCAGGGCCAGCAGCTCGCCGGCGTGGTACAGGTCGTTGCGCGTCAGGCGGCTGAAGCGGTAGGCGTTGAGGTTGCAGATGGTCACGGCGGGGAAGACCAGGCTGCCGGACACCACCGCGTCCACGCTGGTCACGTGCGGGTAGGAGAGGAAGTAGGCCAGCCGCTCGGCGCTCTCCACCGCCAGCAGCGCCACGCAGGCCAGCAGGGCGGCCGCCCAGAGCAGGCGGCGGGCGCCGGCCGGCCCGTAGGGGAAGACGAAGCGCAGGCCGTGCAGCGTGCTGCCGCCGGCGAACAGCTGCCAGGAGGTGGGCCGCACGCCGCCCGAGCCCTCCTGGCTCCCCTGACTGCCACAGCCCTCCTTCAGATCCATGCTCGGTCCTCGTCCTGGTCCTCAGCCAGGGAGCCCCCCCGCGCACGCACACCTACACGGACGGGAGAGGGGAAAAGCCCTATGAGAGACCCAGAGAACTGCGGTTCCGTATAGTCAGAACAACCACAAATGTGGAGATGGAGAGAGAGGGAGAGAGATGGAGAGGAGAGAAGCTGAGGTCAGAAAGGGGAAAAGATGCAGGAGACGGGAGGAAAAGACCTGCGGAGAAACACAGATAAAACGGAGAAATCCAAAGAGACAAAGGAGAGGAGGCACAGAGAAAGAAAAAAAAATCCACCACTTGTGAAAGCTGAATAAGTACAAGAGAGTAAGCGACAGAGGAAGATACTCCCTCAGGGCATCCCTCTCCTCCACACCTCTACTCTCCATCACTCCCCGGACTGAGAGTAACCGTGGCTCCCACCACAGCCCCAGCGAAACATCCAAACCCTCTTCCTCACCCTCTATTACCCCTCTGTGACTGCTCCATTTCACTTCCGAAAAGCACCGGAGTTTAGGTGTGAGAGTCCCCAAACCAGAGCTTTCCCCGGTGGATTTAAAGTCCGAGCATCCTCCCTCTCAAAACACTAAACACCCAGCCGGTAACTCTTATACATGCACATGCACAAACGCACAAACGCTCGCGCGCGCGCGCTCACGCGTCAGGGGGCTTCTTATGGTCATCCGTGCCCCCCCTCAACTAATGACAAGCCAAAGCACCTCTCTGGTTCAGCCTAGCGAGAAGTCATCCGGGTGTGTGTGTGTGTGTGAGAGAGAGAGAGAATCTGACAGCGCACGTGTGTGCGTGTGTGTGTCAGAAAGAGAGAGAGAGAGAGAGAGAGAGAGGGAGGGAGCGCCGATGAGGATGCTGATGGTGATGATGATGGTGATGATGATGATGATGATGATGATGAGAGCCGCTGGTTAGTCTCACACGATGATCCAAACTCCTCCCGTTTTCCTCCGGCCAGATATATCCGCTTCCCCTCCTCTTCCCGGCTCATCTGTGGCGGCGGTGAACGAGAGCGGAGCCGAGAGAGGCGCACACACACACACACACACACCGACACACACACACACACACCAACACACACACACATGCTGGCGAAGGCGTGGGGTGGAGGGATGGGGGGAGAAAGGAGGGAAGCCAACACTCTCTTCCCTTGATCTCCCCAAAGCTAAGTCTCTCAGTGAATATGTTCCCTCCTCCTCTAGAAAACAACCCCCCCCCCCCCCCGTATCTTTTCTCCAATTTGTCTCCTCACCGCTGATATCTCCACATGTCGTCGCCGCAAACAGAGTGATGGATTCATGCAAGACGGGAGAATGCTGGAGAGACAGATAGAAAGAGAAAACCTGGGGTGGTTTCCCTCAGTTTGGGGGGGGGGGGAGCAGAGGTGGAGGTGAGAGAGGGAGATGAGGATCTGAAAACTAAACAAAGAGTTGCAGAGAAAGAGTGATAAAACAGAGATGCTACACAAAGGAATTAAAACAAGTTATGAGCAGAGTCCAGGGATGCTGATGTAAGAGGAATAATATGTACACATAAATAGTTTGTGGAGTCTGGATGTGGACTTAAGCATCAGACCATTCTCAGCTGATTGCTTTTACAAAAGGAATGGATAAACAACTGATTGTTTTTTTACTAAATAAATGGAAAAACAGCCAGGGTGTGAAGCAACTCAAGAAAAAAACACTGAAAACGTTGAGACTTAGTGCCAAAAGGAAGCAAAAGACAGAGATAAAAACAGAAAAATCCATTAAAAAAACATTCAAAAGCTGGTGAAATTATTGAAAGCAATTAGAGACACAAACAGAGTCAAAATTCCCTCTTAATTTATAGTTACATACTCAATGGAGTCAGGTGACAAACTAAAGGATTCTTTTTTATTTTCAGGAAATCTGGATTCTAATCAGATCACCCAGCTGGATTCTAACAGCTGTTTTGGAAACATCTGCCATGCAGTGGTTGCTAAATCCAAAAGAATCAGGGGAAAAATCAAATCGACAAGTAGCGTGCAACAGATTGCAGGTTTAACGTGACGCTGACATGTTTACAAGCTGGATTACACACATGCTCAAACGTTGTGTTTGCTCCATTATGGAAACACAACCTGTAATTATGTGTAAACAATTACGTGATTCATTAGCATAACTATGTGGTGTTAATTGATACTAAATGTGTTGTTCTTCCACACACTAAACAAATCCAGGCTGTATTCATGCCGGCTGCAGAATGTCATAGCTCTATAAAGCCCCAAAACATGTCAGAAAAGATATTTGGACCCAACATGAAGCCTAAAGACTGAATTGATTCAGAATTCATAGAGTTTCTACTGTGCGCTTACATTATTACAGCTTTCAGAACACAAAAAAATGAATGTCCATGTTTCTGAAAATCATCTATATGCTGTTTTATAATATTAGTGTAACCCTCATTAAGTGATAAAAATGTAATGAGCTGTCCAAATGTAAATTTGATCAAAATAGATTTAATTAAAGGTCAGAAACCTTTCAGGTGATCTTTGAGACAGTTTGCAAACTCAGAAACTCACCAAGCACCAAACTTCAATTGTCCAGTCAAACATCCATTCTAATAATCCTTAAACAAGGTAAAATGTCACTAGTTCTTGTGACAAGAAAAATGGCTTCCTGTTTGCTCGGTAGTCTAATGAAAAGCCTGTCTGGTCATTCATCTCACCTGTTGGAGCCACCGGAGCCCTTCTGCAGTCTGAGCCTCTGTCCTCGTTTTGGTGGAATACCACCAAGACATTATTTATTTATTTATTTTTAAAAAGATATTGGCCACAACTTGAGACTTTCTGATAAACTAACTGAAACACCTTGACAATATGGCAACTGGAAATCTTCCCATTTAACAAAGAGATACCAAAGTAGAAAAACAAGACGCAAAAAGTCTTACATGAACCGTCAACCATGTGAAGATTTGGTTTTTCTATCTTTATAGATGAGCAGGAAGCAGATACACAGCCTAAAAGTGACATCTATCATCTTTATTCTATTAGGGACAAAACAAACATAGAAGGGCAAAGTCATATTTCAACATTATTTATTACATCTTCTCAGAGACACTGTGAACTCTTTAAAAGAAAAAAGAGATAAGATTCAATAAGCAAAACATAAATCTTTATTGTCATACTAACATATAATATGCACAAATGATATACAAACGATTAAGGAAATAGAGAAATGAAAGATGTCTAAATTGCTGAGGTCATCAGTGCATGAACTGAACTCTGAATTTAATCTATCACTTCATTTGAACAATGACGTTGATTTAACAGTGAAAATTATTCCTGGATCCAGCTCCATCTCAGAGAACGTGGACGTTCACCCTGTAAAAACAAACAGAGCCTTCCATCTTTGTGGAAGTGGCGACGCTCCACCTGCAGCTCACTTCAGGATCTCTGTCCATCACTCTGAGATCAGCCATTTGTAACAAAACCGGAGCACTGATTAGAAGTGAGGAATGACTGATGGGGGGGGTCCTCCGTCTCTGTCGGCCGCGAGCTGTCAGTCCATCACGGTCTTTCTTCCAAATGAAATTTGCTGAGGTCTCAGACAGCCGCAGGCTTTGCTGCTTTCTTAACAGCTTAATTAAGCGAATCTCCCACTTTCCCACTGAGGTAATGAGGGTAGTTTTACAGGGATTAAACAATCTCCGGGGCTGTAAATTGGGCTTTGTACTTTAGCAATCTTATCTGCCTGCATCCAGCCGAGCACCTTTCATTCCCCGGGATTAGTGAAGGCTGGAGGAAAGCTGGCCTTTTTTTGAAAAATCTGCATTGTATTAATGCTAACAAACTTTCTGCAACATCAGGAAATATGAAGTCTCGGTGTGTTTTCTTTTTAACTTTTTCTGCCTCTGGTGGATGCATGAAACAGCAGGTGATCAGTCACACACCTTATGTCTCAACCCTCCTCCATCATGAAGTGTGTAAATATATAAAATGTGTATTAGCTGAATGTCAGAGATTGGAAAAGATCTTAGAGATGCATCTTTAATCTTTATCTCTTCTCTCAGAAACAAAGGATGAGTAATCTGAATTTGAAGGCCACTCAGTAGCTCCCATTTATTCATCTGATGGACCCACCTATTTTGTCTTCAGTGCACACATTCGTAAAAAAACAAACCAACATGGAAAGCTGAATCCTTGTTAAATTATGAGCGTTACGCTTCTATAACTAAAGGGAATGTTTCACTCTCAGAGCTTTGATCAGTTAGTGGAGACGAGACGTGTTTAAGAGGTTCTGCTGGGATTTTCTACGCCTGTTGCAGCGAGTTAACTCTGTTTTCCATCAGGAAGTTTGCTTGTTTTCCTCCTCGGGAAACCAGATAAACGCGCTTCTTGGAAGAGCTTTGCCGACCGGGCACTTCTGGCCTGAGACTCATGACATGACTGGAGGAGTAATTACTGCTTCGGACTATCTGAGTGGATTATGAAAAATAACATCCTACCAGTGGATAATTAGGAGGCTAAGTACCAGAGCTGGTCAGACGAGGCACAGCAGATTATCACCTCTGGGGATGAGAGTCGAAGGGCAGATTAGTTGACTGTGAGCAATAGCAGCAGATTTTTTCTGGGAGCAGGCTCTTAATTAGATTTGGAAAATGGGGAAGGCCGACTCTTCCTGTGAGGAGGCTTTTTCTGGTCAAATGAAGTTCCCTTCCAATTAGGAGTGTTATCATAAAGCCTACCGACGTCGACTAAGACCTAATCTGACACGGACAGTGTTAAATGCCACCCCCTGCTGGTATTTATTCCTGAAGTATTTTGATTATCTTATTTCAGGGACTTTCAATCTAAGGCAGTGAAAATGCACTTCTTTACTCAGTGGTTGTTACAAAGGATTTCAACTGCCTGGATCAGTTAGACTTGTTGAAAAGCAACAGTTTTTCTCCCCAAAAAAACTCTGCTTGGCCCCAAAACGGGTCCAACGTTCAAGAATGAAAGATGTAACTTTAATGAGCAACAGGAAATGCTTCCGTTTTTCAAAACTAAATTAATTTTTCATAGATTTTGGTGATTAATGGATTAGCTGTAAGAAAAATGACCTCACAAGGAGGTGTGAGCAGCACAGGTTTCCACAGTCTGAAAAGTGGAAGTAGCTTTAAACACCTCACAAATGAGTTTCAGCCCCTCTGAAGGAGCATTGTCCGCGGTGGCTGGAAAACGTCGAGATTTCTGCCACTTCTCAGATTCAAAGGAGGTTTGTGCTGCTGTAAGATGGACCGTGCGTTCATTTGCCGGGGCTCACGCTGGGCGCCGCTTCTGGAGGGAGAATTGCTGCGTGGCGGCATGACAGCAGCGGCAGGAAGGCCGATAATTACGCTGAAGGAGAGGAACTCCATCTTTTCTCTGATCGCCGTTCCATTGTGCAGGTAGAGGAACAACATATCCTCTACCAGTCTCTCCCTCCCGTTAAACCCAAATGAAGACGCTTTAAAAAGAGGCCGGAGATAAACCCGAGCCCCTGTAGAGGAGCCCCAGCTAGAGGTAGAGTCTGGATATGAGAAGGGAAGACCTCTGCAAAAGCCTCTGTAAACCGCTACAGCTTTTAGAGCCACTGTACAGAAGCACGGGGAGATGGGGTATCTGCTCCTCCGACTGGCTCAGGGGCACAGACTGTCTGAAAATAGAAGCTGAAGAAAAATAGAAAAGAAGACAACGGCAGGGAAGCAACCGCTCGGTTTGCATTATCAGCAGATCGATGTTGTGTACATTCAGCTTTGGTTTCAAGGTGAGAGCTGCAGGAGCAACAGTGGAGGAGGACCAAAACAAAGGAAGCAGAGCATCCTCAACACAAACTATCACCGTTTAAACTAGTCCACGTGCTGGCTCTCAGTGACACGCTGGTCACTGGCGTTTGAGTCAGACACATTTGTGCTTTTTTGAACTGAATATCAGACTAAAGAAAACTAAAACAAGTCTTTTTTCAGAATGTGCGGCGGGCACGCGCTCCTCAGAAGTGATGACGGCCGGACAGGGACAGTCTGGGATTGGAGGCCGGCGTCAGAGGCTGTAGGTGTCCTCGGGTAACTCCCCCAGCAGTTCATCCAGGTCGTCGTCTGAAAACAGAACACACGACGGCGTCTTAGTGAGCGATTAACGCTTTCAGCCGTGCCGCGGAGAGGGACGTCATTTACAGTAACGGCAAAATAAGCTGACAAATGTGTTTCTGACGCTGTCACTCGTTGGCTTCCTCACCCCGAAAAGCCCCCGAAGTCTAACCAGAGGACGCTTTGAAACGAACCTGAGAAACTCAACATTTTACGGAGAAATGGGAATAAGCCCGGCTGTCGTCTGAGGATTAAAACACCAACAGACGAGCCGTCGAATGAGTCAGCATCACCCACTTGAGACGGTTAACATCCATCCGCAGACATTTGTGTTGCGAAATGAATTATTCAATTCCCTTCCTACTAAAAAAATGTTAGCAAACGCCTGCGGAACAGTCCACATTTAGCGTAAAACAACTGTTGGTATTCAGGTGGGACTCAATGTAAATCTAGAGCCCAGCGTTGGCGGCTGATGCTGGACCGAGGTCCACATATTTAGGACGTCCTCTTGTTTAATTGTCCCAGACCTAACTGACCTAACTGACCGGTGCCTGACCTGCTTCCCAGTCTGCGTCCCGCTCTGCTGGGTTCCCTTCACGCTCCGGGAGGCCTCTGCAGGGGGCCAGCGATTGGTTGTCCTGTGCTCCCGTTTGCGCCCTTGGATCCTCGGCCGGCCCCCCCTCCTCGTTGCCGCCCTCGTCCTCCTCCTCGTCGAACAGCAGCTGCATCTGAGACACGGGCTGCCCGGGGCCGCGGGGGCCCCCCCCCGCCGTGGACGGCTCCCGCAGGGGGACGCAGGGGCTCTGAAACGGGGGGGAGGAGAAGACGCCATGATGCAGCCGCCGCCATGTTCCCGGACCGGCCGGGGGGGTTCGGGGCGCCGCCCCCCCGTCCTCACCTGGAGCAGCGGGGGGGGCCGGGCGGGGGCCGGGCTGGCCCCGTCGGGGGGGTAGACCCTCAGCAGGTTGTTGGAGGTCACGTTCAGGTAGTGGTTCCGGTGGGAGGGGGAGAACACGCCCACCTGCTCCCGAAGCAGGGGAAGCACATCTGTGAGGGCTGGGCCAGTAGTCCCGCCCAAAAAATAAATAAAATAAATAAATAATCACCTGTTTGAGCAGCAGCACAGCTCCAACCTTCAGCTCCTCCACCCGGTCCTCCAGGAGCTGCCGGTGGACCGTCCCCTGGATCTCCCCTGAGGCCCCGAGAAACAGAACAGAGGGCAGAATGAGAGCGGGCGCTGGAGCTGCACTTTTATTTCATTTTGTTTTTAAGACGGATACACGTTCACTTCCTTAGTGAGAAAAAGGATTGAAAAAGGCCTTTAAAGCAACACAACTTAACGTGGCTCGAGTGGCGTTTAAACCGTTTTATCCTCTCCACCAGACACCTCTTTTGCCTTCTTTGTGTTGTGTGGGGTCAAACACAGATCACCTGTCCCCTTTGAGCCAAACACCTCAGCACGCTTAGAAAATATTACAGCACCACAGCTGTTTTTGTTGTGTGTTTTTTTTTTGCGTTGCTTTTCTAGAATTGTAACGACCGGCTGTCGGTGAAATATGAAGCCTTCAGCGTGAGTTTAGAGGAAAGCGTGAACCTTTCATAGAGGTTTCAAAGAGCTGCGAGGAGCCAGAATTGCCACGAGGCGCCTTTGAGTCTCTACATGTGCAGAAGCGTGAGCGTCTTCGACCGACACCGGCGGGGCGGCGTGCGCGCTTCGGCTCGCCGTGCTCAAACGGCGCTTTGCTGCTCGGAAATCAGTTAAAAGGGATCCACCCGAGAGTATTTTTTGGAGTTTGAAAAAAATTCTAAGTCTTCAAGAGCAATAACCAATAATATCCGAGTCTGAACTGGTTTCCTTTAACGGCCGCAGATGAAGTTGCTCGTAAAGGAAAATAAAGAAAGAAAATAAAAAGGAAAGCGCTGTCATCAGATCACTGATACGCCTGTAGAGGAGGACCTGCAGTTCAGACTTAGCTGACGGATATACTGAACTGGACTGAATGTCTCTCGCATTCAAAGGAAAACTACTAAAGACTTCATGACTGTCTTTTAAAGCCACCATTTCTTTAAAACTAGCATATCACCTGTTATTTCCGAGAACTAACAAATTTACACATTTCTACTCTGAGGATGAATAAATGCATTAACTTTGAATAAATGCCTGCAGACGTACAATGGCTCTAATAAGCTATTTTTCCAGGAGGCATTCAAACAAATGGGCAAATTAATTTCTTTAAATAACGGCTGAATGTTTCAGTAAAATATAATTTGGGGCTAGAGTTTAATTTCTGATAGCTGATAATTTGCAGCACATTTCAGTGACGGTATGTGTGTGTATGTGTGTGTGTGTGTGCGTTACCCGTTGGGTCTTTGAACACAGCCTTGGCGTCGGCCTGCGTGTGGATGATGCTTTTCAGGAGCACAGCCATGTTGGGCACTTTGTTTCTGGACAGTTGTTTGAGAGCAGCCTGAAAGCAAAAGACGGCACGTCAGAGGCGGACGCGCCGTTTCCTGTCGACTGTAAAAATAATGAAGGGCCGTTTTTATCAGCGTCCAACAATCGTCTGAAGGGAGTGTTTATCCTGTTGTCTAATTAAAATTTGTTTTGTCTGGCTCAGTACTGAGAAAGATGATGGCGTGATCACTGCTCTTTCACTTTAACTCTGCAGCAGCAGAGAGACTCGCACACGTAATAAAAACCTCTGAAAGCGAGTCAACAAGAAGAAAATGAAGATAGATCTAAAATTAAGAAACAAATATCTGACTCAGAACCACAAAACACAACAAAAAGCAGAAAAAAAGATAAGGAATGCTGTGACAAGGTTACAACTTCTGGACATTAGCTTTTTTTTTTTTTATTATGTGTAAAAGCTGTTGCTGGCAGCACTAAATGATCATTTTTAACATTATATATGTTGTCCCCCAAACTACTTTAAGGTTTTCCAGGCTTAGTGATAATCACCAGTATTTCATGGGCTGTAACACAAACTGAGAAATAACAAGAGAGTTTAGCAATTAAAAAAAACGCAGCAACACTTCAGTCAGAGGCTAATTCACCCTCTCTGCTATATGAACCGGAACACATTCAGAGTTTAGATTTAACCTGATATTGCCAAATTCTGGCTACATCAGGTTAAACTCTGGCTATATATACACATATTTATGTATATACATACATACATAAATATAAAGGGTTGGCTAAAATTAGTCTAAGACTCAGCTGAATGTCTCTTAAAGTATTTAGACTGCTGCTCTCCTCAAATAAAAGAGCATCAGACATAGTTTGAGTCAATTCCTTTGTTCCTTTAAATGCAAAAGTGGTACGGTTTTAATGGTCTGGTGGAACTATAACCATAGGTTTAAGCAAATGTACATAGAACTGATTTGAATGACTGTGTGCCTGGAGAGGAGTCCCCTTTAGAGACTACATCTCTTTTTCTAATTTTATTTAGCACAATCTATTTATATTTCCAACCCCTTTCCCTTTAAGAAAAAAAACTCATTTTCTTGGGGTTTGTTTATATTGCAGCAGTGTAAATTCATCCATTTAATTTGCCTTTGGGACTAATAAAATAGCTCAAATCTTCAGGCTGCAGTGAGTCGGCGAGCGGAGCTGCAGCTGCGCCAAATGTGGCGAACCCCCCCCCCCCCCCCCATGGGGGCCGGTGGGCCGGCCACAGGTTCATCTGTCAGCGGCACGCACAGGTGTGCGTTTTGGGTCATGTAGGCAAAGACCTTCTGTTCCACTGCTGGAAAAGTGGGATTAACACTTTTCCCCCCCGACACTTTATCACATTTATTAAACACACTGGCCATATAAATCAGCTTTTTGGTAACGTTACTGGATTCTTCTGTAAGCGTGTCCTATGATCTGACGGTTTCACGGGAACGGCTCCAGCTTTTTCATTCATTTACGATGAACTGTGAGCTGCTTAGTCATTCTGACAAACCGTCCCCTGCTGCGCTGTAAGCAAACTCACCTCCTCATTTACCGAGGTCTCATTGAGTCCCAAATATACCCGCCAATGGAAGACGTGAACACCCCGGCCCTGAACGTTACTCCCCTCAGAACAGACAGCGAGCTGTGAGGCCGCTCTGATGCATAGAAATGAACGAGAGCTGGATTAAAGGCCGGGATCATCCTTTCTTTCCAACGCATTAGATTGAACCTGTTGGGGCTGATTGGCGTCAATTTGTTTGTCTGTGCGAATGAGAGTTTTTGGGAGCTGGTTTTCGTGGATGAGCTGAGGCGGCGCCCCCGCAGCAGAATCAGGGGTGAGCGACAGACACCGGCATGCGCAGGCACTTAAAAGAAATTTAAAGGGCCTCCTCCAAACGCGGAGAGAGCAGAGCGACGGCCCGGCCTCCATTAGTGTGATTGATGAGTGATCGTGCTGTTTATCATCACAAACACCTCCAGTGCTGCGCAGTCATTTGTCCTGATTATGCCAATGGACCTCCAGCAGCCTCGCCGGCTGCCATAATGGAGGATGAATCATTTTTAAAAAGCGCCTGACCCAAATGCCAGCGCACACGCGGCCGTGCAGCCTCCCCGTGCACGGCGTGTGCAGAGGAGCAGGGGGAGGGGGGGGCGGCAGGGGGGGGGGCTCACCTTCCGCAGCACCATGATGACGCTGTGGGTGTGCAGGAAGCAGGAGGGGTTCCGCTCGTCCAGACCCATCTCCGCCTTCATCGCCGCCCAGCCGCCGCCGCCAAACTCCTCCTCTTCGCTCTGGGAGCCGGAGCCCTGCAAGAGACAGCCATCGGTTCTGCTCACATACTGCTGAGCTGTGAGCTGCAGCCAGAGCGGGTATCTTACGATGGGTTAGTTTCAGTGAGCCGACTCTAAATGGGGCTGAATATAAAGGAGGGACCCCATCACCATCATCAGTTTGTAGCTGGTGGCTCAATTTTTCTAAACATGAGCATCTACAGTCTGCTACAGGTCATTTGTACAGAGGGTCATGGGTCCAAACAACTCTTAATGTCTGATTTTAAAACTTAAAGACGCATCAGAGGCGTCTGACATGCCAAAGCACTCAAATCTGATCGTGCAGACGGTTTTGCTGCTTTTCGCTAATGTCAAATATGGGAAAAAAGAAGATATATTTTATAAAAATAAGACCATAATGTGAAATGCAGTCATGCTGGAATCGGTCGGTGGGTTTAGGTCTCAGGTGTTGATCCTGTTCTGCACCAGAGCTGCACACCTGCAGCCAAAATTATTTCTGTATTCCTAAACTTTCCCGGTTAGATCGGTTTAAGGCATCAGTGGAGAGCTGCCCAGAGGCAGCCCACGGCGCTCTGCACACCTGTGCACAGCAAAGCAAAGCTGGACACCGTCTGCCTTTTTTGTGCCATCTGGTTAAACAAAACCTGAAAACCTGACAAATACCGACCGCTTCTACAGCCCAGGTTTCTGCATCAGGCTCTGCGTGGAACCAGAAAACTCACCATTTAACTCCTGTTCGGAACAAAACGGAAAGACCAGCGGAAAGACCAGCTGGAGAGCCGGGAAGTGCAAAGAAAACAACACACCCACTACAAACGTTTAGCTCTGTGCCATTTCTTTCGAGCTCCTGAATGTGGATAAAGACGACCAGCTGAGAGAAACCAGAATCCAAGTTGCACTTAACCTGTAACCTTAAACATGGTGATCTGACTGGAAAATGAGAAGAAAAACCACGGGGGAGAACCTGAGTCTCACTGCAAACTTATATAATATTTCATATAGAGGTAGTAGTTTAGGTCTCAGGGTTGTGAAAAAGGAAGCTAAAAGGTAACTTTAACAAGTCTCATGCGATCTCTTCCCTTTTTGTTATTTTCAAGCCTCCGAAATGAGGCAGCCAGCGAGGAGCGACTGCTAATTATGAGGCCGTCAGAACAGAATAAGCGATGGTGTTTACGCTGGTGACCCAGAGGGAGCCCGACAGGAAAGAGCCTGCTGATGACAAGCTGGAAGGGCCATTTAGTCACCGATACTTCAGTTAACAAATACCCGATGACAGTAGTCTGACTGGATGCTGCAACCTGATTCTACAGTGAGCTAAACTGAGCGAGAAAGCAAAAGTGAGACTGGATTAAAACACTGATGAAAACTAGGTGTCAACAAAGACTTTGCTGGCATCATCTGGAAATCTGGACTGTTTGATATCACTAGATCTGGATATGAAAAATAAGAGAATTTGCATGCTTCAGGTAAAGCTCTGGGAAATTTTTTCCACCTGGTTAAGACCGGACAAACCAAACAACTCATTAAAGTGGAAAACAAAGCTCAGAGTAATGAGTCGTGAAATTCGTCACTGGGGTTCGGCCGGATGTCCTCTGAGAGGACGCCCGTCTCCGTGTTTTAATTACCTGGCTTGGCAGTCGGGCTGCTGCCCCGTGGGCCGGAGTCTGAGGAGCGGAGACCACGATCTCATCCAGGTCCTGACCCTGCGGCTGAGACACAAGACTGCAATCAGAATGTGGAGAAAAACCAGAGATTTCTCTCACGGCCTGTTCGCTGGAGCTCAGACGGAAAAAAGCAGCGGCTTGAATTCTAACCAGGGTGTCTGCGTCGGCTCTCTTTTTTGTCATTCTGGACGGGCACGTTTCTGCATGAAGCTAACCTGCTGTGGCAGGAGTCCCGCGGGGCCGGGGAAGCGGCGGGTCCGGGGCTGCTGACCCTCCGAGCGAGGCCTCTTCTTCGGGAGCTTACTGGAGGCCGACACCAGCTGGACCAGGCGGTTGGTCAGGACCGGCGTGTGCATGGGGTGGGGGCTGATAGAGGAGCCGACGGAGGGGGAGGGGGCTGGGGACACGGTCTCAAAGGGGCTGCGAGCCTGATGGGATCCCCGTGGAGTCGCCCATGGCTTCTGCGGCTGCTGAGGATTGTTAAATGTCCTGGAAAAGCTAATGGGAGGCGGCGAGTTTGCAACGAGGCCGGGGAAGACCCCGGGACTGCGCGGAGGAGCCGAGGGGGGAGCGGGACGACTGGACGACCCGTAAGCCTTGCACGCGTTGCTGAGCTCCCTGAGGGTCCGATTAGGCGGCGTTTGACCTCCTCCGCCGGCCGAGGGCCGCAGCGTTTTGCCCGGAGACGGAGGCTCAGCTGTTGCTGCGGACGGTGGGCGGGCAGCAGCGGGTTTAGGAAGATGACCCACTTGGCTGTCGCACTCATCCAAGTCTGCCAGGTCCACATCCCAGTCGTCGAAATCATCCAGGGGCTTCGGCAGCCCCTCCGCGTTTGCGTGACCCTGCTGCGGGGCCAATCTGGGCTGGGATTTATTCAGAGGAGGATGAGGCTGAGCGGAGGATGAGAGCCGCCTCAGGCCCACGGCAGCTGTCTGTGGGTCAGCAATGCCTCTTAATGCGGGGCCACCGCACAGGCCAGGAGCCCGCAGAGCGCAGGAGGACACAGCAGCTGCTCCACTGGCCGGTCCAGAAGCCGAGCAGGCCGTCCAGTCTGTCCCCAGCACGTCCTGGGGAACGCAAACACAGACACACTCTCATTAAGCAGCTAAATACGAGCGTCCCTGCACCCACAGGCGAGTCCCAAATGGATCCAGGTGTGTCACCTCATCATCCAGGTCCTCCCCGATGCTGAACAGGCCTCCGAGTTTGCAGGTCTGCAACAGACCACAGGTGGGCATAAACAACCAATCACATTACGAGGAAATCAAAATGGCCCAAAACACCTGGAGAAGTGGGTTTGTAATACCCAGCTAGCATTTGCGAGCTAAAGTTGGTTCGAGCTACGGTCAGTTTTTTTTTTTTTTTTTGGCTCAGACTCACCATCGCAGTCAAAGGGTTTCGCGATGAAAACCGAGTTTGTTCCGTTCAGACAAAAACACCAGAGTGACACCGAAAGCCATCCAAATGCGGCGAAAGGTGGAAAGTCTGTACGTCTCTGACTGACAAACACGGGCACCACCAGAGCAACTTTTCGTCGGTTGCGTCGCTGTTTGGTGCCGCGCCGTCACGTTCAAACATGACGTGATGACGTAGGCGTTTACGCAAAGAGCGTTACTTTGTGTAGAGAAAAGCCACTTCTTTTTTCCCCTTTTTTTTTCGTAAAAATCAGCGAAAAAAAGACCAGATATCTATTTGAAACGTTTCAAAAGCGTATTCATTTAGATTAAATATCTTGAGAATTTTCTTGAAACTAACTCGTTTTGTTCAAAATCAGAGAGTTATTTTCTCCACCCTGAAGTATTTCCTACCCTTTAATTGTTTGTTTTCATTCTCATATCAAAATACATGGAAACAAGCATCTAAAAATTCTTAATTTATTTTTACATTAGTAGATACCTGTGAAGATGATGAAAAGACAAAAAATAAGATAAGGCGAGGTAAGTTCACATAAGCTGTGATGGAGCAAAGGTCCTACCTCTGAAGCATTTTCTGTTTTTGGTGATTACTGTAACTTTCGTAAGTCGCTTCGGATAAAAGCTAAATGCATAAACATAAACATATTTTATTCGGCTGCTGAGATAAATCCAGCTCTGGTGGATGCTGCCATCTAGTGGCTGTTGCCCATACGGCCTCTGTGAGACCTGACGAGTGTCAGCTTGCATTCTGATCTATTAATACCGAGAGTCTGTCAAGTATTTGAGCAGCAATCTTGTGACAGCACTCACAGAGGAAGGACATTTGATTCGGAAGTCTCTTTATACATCAAACTTAAAATAAGACAGATCCCAGATATGAAGGTTTGTACCTGACCACTACTTGGATCCCCTTTCAGCCAAGTCCTATCTAGTTAAGGGTGAGTAAAGCCTGAAAGTTCACATATCTGTAAGCAGCAGGGCTAAGAGGTAAGAGGCTTTGGGGAACCGAGCATGGGCCGGGGTAAAATGCTGAACTTTTAATCTGTGTCCGTTTAACAACCTGACGATCTTTTGATGTCTGCGTCCATCTTAAGTTTTAAGGTTCCATGTCGAGGGACACGTTTCCGTTCACCTCCACCTCCCTGCGCTCCCTGAGACTGGACCAGGAGTTACAGGAGTGGGAGGATGCACGGCGGGCTCTGGCCGAGAGGAGAGCCCTGACCAGGGCCCCCCTGCCTCGGGCCCCCAGGCCTCCTCCGGCCAGGCGGAAGCCCCTTCAGGAGGTCCGAGCCCCTCCCCCCCAGCTCCGCTGCAGAGACCCGGCCGTTCACAACACCTTCATGTGCGGGGACATGAAAGGCGTGTACGCCGTCCTCAAAGACCCGGCCATGGTCAACGCCCTGATGGAGACGGTGCACGAGGAGATGGTGTGGGCTCCAGAGATGGGTACGGCTTCAAAGGGCTTTTAAAGCTTTTGATTCGTCCGCTTATGGCGCTGATGTTTCCCCACCTCTCTGCTCCCAGGTCTGTGGACGCTGAGCTCCAAGGTGAAGCAGACCTCCGCCCTGCGGCTGGCCGCCGGCCGGGGGCACGCGGCCTGCGTGGAGGAGCTGCTGTTCCGGGGGGCCGAGGTGGACGACGACCCCGGCGGCAGCACCGCCCTCCACGACGCCTGCGCGGGCGGCCATTCCGTCTGCGTCCGGCTGCTGCTGACCCACGGAGCCGATCCTGAAGTGCTGGCGTCAGAGGGGAGCGCTCCTCTCCACCTCTGCACATCTGCCCAGTCCCTTCAGTGAGTGGGAAACGGCATGAAAACCCCAAAGAGGGGGAAACAGAAGCTTTGTTTCACCATCACTTTCACTTAAAGTTAAGATCTAAGAAATCATAGGGAGAAAATTGCAATGAGCTCAAGGAAAGTAGGTTTCACAAACAGCTGAAAGAGGATATTTTTGGTGACCAGATGCTGATGCTGGCAAATGGGATAATCAGAATCTCAATATATTTCTCTCAAGTTGTGCTGAGCTGCTTTTGGAGGGAGGTGCAGACATCAACGTGAGGACCCGGGAGTCGAGGCTCACCCCCCTGCACGTGGCCGCCCGGCGGGGCCTGGAGGAGCACGTGGAGCTCTTCCTCCGCCACGGGGCGGATGTTTTAGCCACAAATCGAGAGGGCGAGACGCCCCTGAACGCGGCCTGCTCCGGAGCGGAGAGGCCGTCCGAGGCCGGGCGGTACCTCCGGGTGGTCCAGAAGCTGCTGGACGCCGGCGCCGATCCCCAGACGGCCGGCAGGAAGCAGCACACCCCGCTGCACAACGCCTGCGCCAACTGCTGCCCCAGGATTGTGGAGGTCCTCCTGAAGCACGGAGCAAAGCCCGACGTGGTCAACTGTGCAGGATACACGCCAATGGACTGTTTACTGCAGGTAGAAGACGGGGGCAGGCTAATAAAGGTTCAGAGTGACGCGCTTTAGCTCAGACATTTGGGTAAACTTTGTTCTGCTTGGTCCTCAAGGTGGTGGAGGATTATCCAAACCAACAACCTGAGGCGATAGCGCGGTCACTTCTGAACCACGGAGCAACACCGGTTCCACCAAAGGTTCGAGCAAAACCGCACTATAAAATACAACCAGAAGGTGGTCTTAAATGTGTTAAAGCAGAATTCAGAAAAGTTTTCATATCTGAAGAGACCTAAAAGAACAACTGTGTAAATTAGACCGGAACAGGAAGTAAAAAATACCTCACAAGATGTAATTTATGTGAAAACATGTAAATGTGAGCTTAGCTTGGCTAGCTGGAAAGAACTATGATATAATCAATATAACACAATTATGAAGTTCAAACATTTGTTTTAAAGCGGAATGCAAATGTAGACAGGATCAAGATAGTTACAAACCCATTAATTAATTATAACAAAAAGGTTTAAAAAAATGTTATGTGTTTTTATTTTAAAGAGGAGGCCTCTTTTACTGTAAAGCTTCAGTAATGTCCACGCTGGATATAGTATATCACAAAGAGTCTGGCCTTTTTGGAGAGAGGTTTGTGACGTCAGAGCTCTTTTTCTAAGCATTCTTGAAGTGCTCCCAAACGCTTTTCCCCGCAGATGCTGAGGCAGTGCGTCCTCTCTCCGGCCACTCTGGAGGTGATGCTGAACTCGTACCTGTCCGTGCCGGCCTGTGACTGGATGGACTCCCTGTCTGCGGAGGCCTTTGAGGTGAGCTCTCTGTGGTGTCCAGTCGGTGCTCCCTGCCCCCCCCTCCGTGCTGCCTCATGCCCGTTTCTGCCTCAGGACCAGCCGTTCCTCCTGTTGGTGCGCCAGCGGAGCGCCCAGCCCCGCTGTCTGCAGCATCTCTGCCGCTGGGCTTTGCGTCGGCACTTGGGAGCCCGGTGTCACTCGGCGGTCACCGAACTGGACATTCCCAACTCGGTCAGGGATTATCTGCTGCTGCGTAACGACGGCACGCTCCAGTGAATCGGTTCTGTCCGTGCAATCAAATAATGTCATCATCCTTTGGATGATTAACTGCGAACTCTTTGTTTCCTCTTTGCACAGTTCTTCTTTTCTTAATTATAGTGAGCTTCAACCACATTAACATTATATTCCCACTTAAGCGGATGGCGATAAAATCGATCTCTAATTCCCAGAACTGTAAATAAAAAGTCACAAACCATTTCATTCATTTAGATGTTCATCCTGGCAGAAATATTATACATCAACCCTGCTAGCTGCTTATTCAAAGATCTTCTCCAGTATTTTGGTCCCGTCTGCTCTTCTACTTCAGCCACTCTTGTAATTTTCTGTTTTCCTCTGTGGGTATTTACCATTTATCATTATTCAAGCCCTCTATATTTTTCTTCCTGATCCTGGAAAATCCTCCAGTCCTGCTTCAGAGAAATTGCCTCCACAATGTACGGCTGTCACCAGCATGTTTTTCTACAGTGATGCATTTGGAGGTGAAATATAGCTGTTTTATGTTTGTTTCATTAGATCAGAGGTTTTTCTTACAGATTAAAAGACGCCCTGGAGCCTTACAACAAAGTGCCACGAGTCTTTGAGTCTTTTGTCTGTGAATTTAAATGTAATAACTAATTGGGTGAGCCATGCATTGATAATTTCAATTCCTTAATACTGTCTTATCTCCACAAAAGGACCTTGGAAGCCATTCAAATGGGCTGTAAGTCATAGATAACTCCGTCTGGCTGATAACCTACAAAAGGCGTGTTGGTAGCTGCAGACTTCCTACACTTAGATGGAGGTCAGCTTGTTTTTACTGCTTTCCTTGTTTCTTTGAAAGATTGTTGACCTAATAAATGGGACTGATGTTTGCACACACACATTGTGCATTCTCTTATTAACATTTAATAGTTCTCTAATAAAATTATAGAAACTTGAGACTGAAGTTCTGAAAGACATGGGATTTGCTGGAGCTTGAATTGAATTGAATTGAATTGAATATACTTTATTGATCTCCAGGGAGAAATTGACTTCCAGTACAGCCTGTACCAAGATCAAACAAACAAAAACACATAGACACACCAGTTCGGGAAGACTGAGGGCAGCCACACAGGAGGGCGCACCAATTTTTCTTCAGAACAAAAAGAATACATTGGGAAAGCGGTTGCGGGAAGAGGGAAAAAAAGGCCCAGTGCCACGCCCCCTACAGGGGACGTAACAGTGATTTAAAAAAAACACCTCAGTACCAGCTTCATCTTTTCATTAATGGTGTATAAATGAATATTTAAGGCTTTAATGGCCAAATGTCAACAAAAATAGCGTCTAAGAGAGTTTAAGAGTCTAAGATAGTTTAAGAGTCTAAGATACCATGAACAGAACTTTAAAAAGTTTTAAAAACCCTCTGCCAACACTGCAGCCAGTATAGAAGCCAACCTATCGATTGAGATTTAATTAGAGGGATTTTTATGGACATCGTGGGACTAAAGCTGTGTTTTATAAAGTTGTAAACGACAGGCTCTTGCATTGATTTGGTCTTTGTGTGGCTTCTGTAAGTTTTGCAAAAAGCTGTCTGTTTAGCTTTCTCTTTGTTCACAGACGGTCAGACTTTGCCCCCATCTGTCCTCCACCCTTTCACAGAGCACTGCTCCCATATGCTAACCCTTTTACTCTTTGCACTTTAAACCTACATCTGCACTCAGTCATACCCCACCAATGCCATCTTCAAATTTACTTATGACTCCACAATCTCTGTGGGGGGAGGAGAAAAAGGATGACCGGTTCAAAAGCACCGGTCTGGTGTTTAAACCCCATGGGTCCTTGGGGATTTAAAAAAGAAAAACAACATAAAAGAACTCAGTTTTCATTCCTGGTAGAACTGAACAAGCTCCTGAAAGAGATAACACTCTTCTATAGAAAGGATATTGATGTGTGTGAACAGCAGACAGGAAAGAGCATCCCCCTGAAGAGGATTGTAGAAAAACACCCCTAAAATAATAATTGTTTGCCGTCCGCTCTCAGCGAGCAGAAAACATCACAAAAGAGGCCTCAGACCCAGAAAATAAGCTATTTGACCTGCTGCCCCCTGGAAGACGCACCACTGATATAGCTCACATAAAACCTGACTTACAAACAGTGTTTTCTCCAGGTCCAGGCACCTTAAACTCAGACTGCACCCTTTAATGTGCACAAAAATAACCAACACAACCGACCACTGACCGGTGCGGTCAGCATACTTTCCGTGCAATATTACCTAGGGCTGTGACCTCTTCTTAAAAAAGTCAACAGGTCAGTGGCCTGACGATATCCTTGGCCCTGGGTTCTAATATCCCTTTTCTAACCACACACTGAATAAGAAGAGCACCATTTATTTGGACATTGTGCAACGAAGATAAACCTTTTGAATTATTTTTGTCAGTGTTGGTAATCCTGCAATTCCAAATATATGTCCTATGAATACTTTTTCTTACTTATAAAGGGATTCAAGCTTAGTTTGTACTGTCATTTGTACCTGACAGGAGTAAAAATTCCCATCGCTGATGTGGGTGTTGCAACAGGCGTGTCCAGTTTCCACGGCAACAGAGCCCGCCCACATGTGGTTACGTCACGCCCCTGCACTGTGTTTATTATGTGGTTTTTGAGCAGTTGCTAACTAGCACCGAGCCTCCTCTTTAAATATGCTGTAATTTCGCAGCTGACAGGTAAGGCCCTTCCCAACGAGTCACGGTTTGGACTTTTAGACGTTTACGAGACGCTTCGGTTCAATGTGAAAACTGTTGCGACAAAACAAAGCGAGCAATGCGGGTCGTAAACAACCGAAGGTCGTGTTTTTCCAGCTAGCTTAGCTAGCTAAATTAGCTCGTTAGTGGGATCATGAACTACAAGATAACAAGTTGGAAGGAAAGCGGGGCAGCTTTCATAAGGATTGACGTGTGGATAAGACTGAATATGGAGGGCAACAGACGTGACACGAGAGGACATTATTGACAGAATGGGACACAGCTGTTAAGCAGCTTCGAAAACTGCGGTTATGGTCGATAACTTTACCAAACGAGAACTGTTCTTTGAGCAAATGAAATCTATTTCCGGCTTCTTTGTTTTTGTCGAACAGCAAACGTTTAACGGCTGTTGAGACGGCTTGTTTGCACTTGCAAGGGGGGAAAACTTTCCCCACTTTGCTAAGCTTAAAAGAATGTCTTATGCAAAGCAGGATTTTCCTGGTGTGCTGGAAAGCTTTGCCACAAGGTGGTCTGACCCTTTCTTTTTTCCGGGGGGTGGGGGCATTGTCTAATCCTCGAAAAAAAGGAAACCATGACATGACACTTTTCCACAAAATCTCAAACGTATTGATTGAGTTTACATAAACATTTGTCCATGGAAATGAGGCTAGCTGAACAGAGGAATATCCTTTAAATAAACAGTTTGACATCTAAAGGTGTGCAATCAGGTAACTGTTAAATGGAAGAAGCAATTAAACATTTTTGATTTATGCATATGTTAAGCTGTGTGTTTTCCAGGGTGACATCTAAATATTGACCTGTGGTTGTGTAATGGCGTGCAGGCTGGGAGGACAGAGATGGCAGTGTGTGCACTGACCATGTTGGATGGAATGGAGGATGAGGTCATGGCGACGGGGGGCCTGCTGCTCCTGGCCCTCGCCCTCATCTTAGCCTGGCTGTCGACGCACGTGGCCGACCGGGGAGACCACATCCTGGGCACCATCCTCACCGTGGGCGCGCACGCCTCCCTGATAGGGCTGGGGGGCCACGACAGCTACAGCGGGGGGCCGAGTAGCAGCGACGCCCCCGAGCAGCAGGCGCCTTCGCCCTCGCCGGAGAACAAGCCGGACGACGGCGAGCCGGCCGCCGAGCGGGAGGGCGAGGGGGCGGGAGAGGGAGCCGAGGGGGTGTGGACAGACCTGCTGCTGGACATACAGGGCAAACAGCCCCAGGCGGGACGCCCGCACGCTTCCGACGGAGAGGAGGAAGAGGCTGATGAGGAGAACGATGACGATGACGATTATGCGGTGGAGGATTCAAAGGTGGTGGATGAGAAGGCTGTCCTCCTCAAACCAGTTCTAACCGCCACAGCGAGCGCCACCTCCATTAGCGTCCGTCTGAAGTTTCTGAATGACACGGAGGAGGTGGCTGTGGTAGAACAACACGATACCGTGGGAGGACTGAAAAGGTAAGCAACACAACCCCAAAGATTAGTTTACAAACCTCACACACAGACTACAGGTAGGGAGAGGATTCAGATCAGTTTAACCACAAATGGTTTGTTTTAACTTCAAACTGCAGCCAGTGCTGCTGTGAGGAAAGCAGCCGTAAAACTCACTCAGCAAGTTTTTCCTCGTGAATGAAATATAACGACAAAGAAATGTGGAACGTTTCCCTTGTCTTTTACTGGCTGCACACATAACAAGGCCCCAGGCGGACTGCTTTGCTTTGCTTTAAATGTGACTGAGGGAGACCTCCGTGCTGCTGAAGGCAGATTTAAAGTGAACTGTAACCGCGAACACATTATTAAGAACGTTTTTTAAAACACTCAGTTCAAATGAGCCTCTTTGACTAATCTTTTATTGTTTCTGAACTTCTCTTCAATCTCGTGTTTCTGCTTTTGCAGCAAATGTTTTTCAGGTCGGGAGAATCAAATTAAGTTAATCTACCAGGGCCAGCTGCTGCAGGATCCGAAGAAGACTCTGCTGTCCCTCAACATCACCGACAACAGCGTGATCCACTGCCACGTGTCCCCGGCCCTGCAGGAGGCCGGCCCGGAGGAGGGGGCCCCGCCTGGGGCCGAGGGCCGGGCCGGGGTCTCCGGAGGATTCAGGGCGGCCGGCGTGGCCATCAGCACCAGCAGCCTGGTGGTGCCCGTGTTCGTGGTCATCCTGGCTGTGGTGTGGTACTTCCGCATCAACTACAGGCAGTTCTTCACCGCCCCCGCGACCATCTCCCTGGTGGGAGTCACTGTGTTCTTCAGCTTTCTGATATTCGGGATGCACAGCCGCTGAGGAGGCGGAGGTGCGGCTCAGAGCCGACGCTGAATAATTCGAGGTGAAATAAAAATAGCCACGGCAGTGGGCTGAGAGATGGACTGATCCAGAAGGCCACGGAGCTGCAGCTGACCGGAGTGCGTTTGTGCATGTACCAAAATAATTAAAAAAAGATTGTGCAGCTTAAATGCAGTAAGTAATCTCCTGAGAGGATTTAACTGAGGCATTAAGCGTGGTTAACTTTACTCTATCCTCTTTTGTTAAAAATTCATACGGCTTTCTTCTGCTTTATTCTCTTTTTTCAGAGCACCATTTCCTTGTTTTTTAGGTGTAGGGGGGGGTGTAAATATAGATTTTAATGTTCTAAACTCATTTGGAACCACTCGCTGTTGTGCTGCCTGTGCAAGTTTGACTCAAACATTTTATGATATTTAAAGAAGTCAAACTCTGTAAGAAAATATATCAAGCAACTGCCTCTCTGCAAGGCCGACTAAAAAATTTAGACATAACTGGTCATTTTTCAGAAGACTGTAAATATATTGTCTATTTTCTGTAAATAAACGCATCGGGAGAAGCTGCATTTGGCACTTAAGAGTTGGAGACGGGGCGCTCCTCCTGATGATGCTGGACTCGTCTGGTTTGGGTTTTGTTTAATTAAAGCATTTCCAACCAAAGCCGTCCGTGTCTGTGCTCTGAAGCAGTCTCTGGGTACAGGATATGTTTATTTACAGACCGACATCAGAATGCATGGCAGTGAGGAAAAACAACAGATGCATCACATTACGATCAGATACAAGTCATTCACTCCTGCACTCATTTTGTGCTTGGAAAAAACATCAGAAACACAATACCGCGTCCCGTCACTGCACTCGAATGTGCAAAAAAAAAGAAAGAAAAGAAGCTGCATGGGAAATCCAGCTGCTAGTGGGCGACAGTTTTCTAATAGTGCATCTCACAAGACTTCACGGGACAGAAATCACAAGGGCACAGACAGTCCTGCAGCAGAACGGAAAGCTGGGGTGAAAGGAGCTTTTACTCTGGAAATTTGATCCACTTCAGCTGATTCTCACATTCGGGACATAAGTGGATCTGTCGGGCAGCTGTGGTCACTGAGAGCTGACACGATCCACAAAACTGTCCTCTTGGTCCAACTCCAGAGTGTTGCCCATTAAATTCACACTGATTCATAACCTTTTTTTTTTAAGGGGGTGGAAAAAAATGTGTTAAATAATCTAAACAACTGCTCTTTAGAGTTAAACATTTGTTAATACGTTGTTTCAAAGTTTAAAGAGACAAAGTGAGCAGAAATTAAACTAAGTGCTGCATCAGTAAAACTGCTAAGGAGACGAAAAGGCTCTTCTGCAACAAGCACATGGAGTTTACTTACAAAAAGCTAATGAAATGAGATAGTAGAGGGGAACACGATGCGGTGCTTTGTTTCTAAAGACGGGCGGGGTCAAACCCACCAGCCAGGTTCCCAGAAAAAAAATGTAGGGGGACCTCTGACCTTTAGGTTCCTGTTTGGTCGTATTGCGTCATATCTAAATGAGACGGTTAGAGAAAGTTCTGCACCTCAGAAACGGCTTCGTTTAGGGCTGAAATTTCCACATGATTAGAAAAAACGCACTCGTGGAGCGTTCAAGGAGCCCAAACCTGTGAGCCGGGTCTCCCTGGGGGGGGCACAGAACCGCGGTTACGCATGATGCAATCTACAAGCAGAGAGGGAAAACAGGACGGGGGAATGGAGAAAAACCTGCGCTACGTTCATGATTCAGTTTCCTAAAGGATCCGCCGATGTGCTCCGAAAACACCAAAAAATCTCCACCTTCACACAAATAATACACACACATCACCACAAAGGCAGTGACAAATTTAAATATCTTATTCATGTAAACAAAGTTAAATATTTAAAATGGCACATGTATTTTCACAAAAAAAATGTCATTCTATGATGCATAGTTACGAGAAAAATAAAGATGATACACACACGTCCACGCCTCCAACCACGCACACACAAACTCACACGTGTACAAAACTGTGCAATACGATGCTCGAATTAAAAAAAAGCCACCGATGGGTTCCCCAGCGCGCGTGGGCTGTGGAGGTGAGAGCTCTGCTCACCACTGGGGAGGGCCAGAGGAGTCCAGGGGGCCACCCGCGGCCACCTGGACGCTTCAGGATGTGGAATCAAAACACTTAAGAGCTTCTTTTTTTTTTTTTTGTCGGGTCACATGGCGGTTTGTGAAAAGGTTCACTACCAAATCCTAAACCCTGGATAGAATCCTGTCCTTTGGGCTGTGATCCTGTCTGAACCCTGATACTGTCACACCCTGTTAAGAAGACATTTTGACTACTGACCCTGTTTCATTCCATTTTCACTCAATTCTACTGGACATTTAGGTCGACACAAACTCCGAACTCCACTTCCAGCCAGTCTGATGTCTTCATTTTTTCTAGTTTGGTTTGGAAAAGGCTCAGTGGATTTTCAGCTGGACCACCCAAACCGCTAAATTAACGCTCCGACGTTTTGGCAAACGCCAGCGTGCAGATCGTTTTCCGTGAAAATGTTTGGTGGAGTACCTAAATGCAGCGCCCTGGAACCCCCAGGAGAGGAAATCCTACTGGCCAAATCCAAAAGGTTTATGCACGGTGAAGGGACCTTTTGTTCCAACCCTCTGAAAATCCTGATATGAGAGGGGGGGGGGGGTGGTTAACAGAGGAGGAGAGAACTGGTCTAACAAGCAGGCCCGTGCTAGTTTAAGTCATCATAGATACTTGGAATAGGAGGCGCTGAGAGCTTGGGCTTCTTTTTTTTGGTGGACAAACTGATATTACTCTGAGAGCTGCTGCCCCCGCCTCCGGTCAGACTTCCACTCCCGCCCCCGCCGCTCAGACCCAGAGGGGGCCTCTTCTTCTTCTTGGGCTTCCGAGAATCCGAGTGATTGGTGCCTGCGTGGGGGACAGAAGTAGACGGATCAGCGGCCTTTCCTTCGGTGGAGACCCCCGGCCCCCCCGGGATGCCCCGTCCTTACTGGCTTTGGAGGAGGCGGAGTCTGTGGGGGAGATGTCCGGGGAGTCCTCCCACTGCAGGCGGCTCCTCAAAGTCTGTCCGTCTGGAATGTCGAAGCTGTCGCTCTCCGCCACGGGGTCTGCGTCCGGCAGCGGCGGCCTGAGACATGAAACCCACAAACGGGAGCACGGCTGAGAACCGGCGGACGCAAAACGCTCTTTTAGAGTCTAACAGAAGCTCTTCTCAGTGTTTTCAATCCGATTAGCTTGATTCTATTAGCAGCCGTCACGCAAAGCTAAAAATCAGTTGAATAATCTTGACATATTAAATATGTCATTTAAAGTTTTCTTTAAGATTTCTGCAAAGAAACATAACAACCCTCAGATCTGAATACTTGTATGCAAAAAATTGCATATAAAACACTTTACCATTCAACGTATATGTATAAACAAATAGAGATAACAACTGAGCTAACTGAGGTCCAGCACCGTCCAGACATCAGGCACAGGAACTCTGTTTCTAGCGGGTCAGAACTCTGACTGGACCTGCTGGGACCCGTCAACGGCAGCGTGTAGGTCTGCTAAGGCTTTGTTTGGAGGTGAAATCCCACCTCTGCTTCAGTTCAGACCACTCTCTTAGAGGTAAAGGGGTCCTGTAATCTGCTGAGTTCTGACAGAAAGTTTCCAGAGAATTGCTCCACATTCTACGTGTCTGACTTGTGATTCCACAACAAAACCCTGTGACGGATCCAGAAGGTCTGGGGGAGGAGGGGCACCAGGTAGAGATGGCACCCACTGCTAACAGGTCTCTGTTTCAAAGCAGTTGGGACAGAGCTCGAGTACTCTGCTTGGACTAAGTGCAACCCCTTCCAGGAAAGAGCCCAAACAATTTAGAAAAAAAAGCCATTTAAAAAGGTATTCGTAGCCTTTTTAACACTAAAAAAGTCAAAGCTTCTTTTCACATCTTGTTTTTCATAAGGTCACAGCTCATGAGGGAGGAATAAAAACACAAAGGACACAAAAGCTGGGACTTTAGGCCCCCCCAGATTAATAATGGGAGCATAAGGCAGAACCATACTGCATCCCTTCACTGGCTCCAAAAAACAGTTCTGAACCCTCACACACTCCAGCACACCTGTGCTACAGTCTACACAGCCCCCAGGTGAGGGGGGGGATCACAACCGGGTTCAGTGGGAGCCCTGTGGAGGGAGAAAGGGGGGCGGGGCAGACTCACGCGGACGGCCCCAGGAGGAACACCCTGACGGCCCTCCTCTGCTCGTCCGTGTGCTGGGGGCATCGCTGAGACCTGGAGGGACACAACGTGGCATTATACATCCCCGGCTCAGGGCCCGCCCACGCCCACCACGCAGCTAAACTCGCTCAGGGCGCTGCCCCCCCATTAAGGGGAGAGAACTGTCACACGGGCCGGTAGGAGGAGGTGGGACGGCCTGGTGGGAAGCAGGGTAAAGCCCTCCATGGTCTGAGTTCAGTACAGGTGGGTGGATCTTTGAGCCAGGAGAAATTAACCATACATTGCCACTTGTGTCCCCGAATTAGTCCCAACAAAGAGGATTATCTCTGAAATATGGTTTTCCCTTTTTTTTCTGTCACGGGGAGGTTTAATGACCACTTTGTTTGACTTAATTACCTTGTACACATCTTCTTGGTGTGCTCAGAGATCACCCCGCATTGCTGTGGAAACAAATATGACGTCAGTGAGAAGGCAAAGCAGGATTCCCAAACAGTGGACGGGCTGCGGGAGGACTTTGGTGACCGGCTCTGCTCCGGAAAGTTCCTCACCGTCGTTAGGAGGGAGCGGACCTCGTCAGGAGCTAAACTCTCATAGCTGATGCCAGTGTTGTAGTTGTACTGAAAGGAAAGAAGAGAAGCGTCCGCTATGAGTCAGAAAACAGACAAAGACAACAAAGAGGGGCAGCATGGACAGCAGGAAGGAGGAGGATGTGTCACCTTGTAAGGCTCCGGGCCGATGTTAGTCCCAAGTTCACCTGAAACAGGAAAAGCAAAAAGAACCAGTGGTATTAGAGGTCTACAGCCAGATCAAGCCACAGGCCAGAGCCCACCACGATCCTTTGCAGTGGGGGTGCACGTCCGGTCTGCCCTCAGTCTGAAAACACCAGAGACCCGCTCATCTTTAGGAGAAACTAAATGTGTGCTCAGCTTACCATTTTTGTGTTTCAGAGATTTTGATCTTCTCGGGGAATTTTGATTCTGCAAAAAGAAAAAAGGTGAGTATTTGATAAAAGGCTCATTAATAATGATCTGAAAAGAACAAAAAATATAAGAAATACCTTATCCGACTTTCTCTTCTTGGCTGCAAAAAGAGGACAAAAGAATATCAGGAATGAGGGAAAGCTGTGAAAAATCAAAGATTCAGTACAATGATTTTCATCTGCGCACATTTCTTTTCTGCTCCGTACGACCAGTCGTTGTCATTCAGGTCGTCGTTGTCCTCCTGATCGCTCTCCGATTTGCTCATGTTGTTATTGCTGGCGAGCCTATAAAGAAACAGAAACCTGATCAGACTTCACTATAAAAAAGCCTCTTAAAAGGCGGATCGGGGGGGCCTGGGTGACCGCTGCTGACCGACCTGCGGCTGGCGATGCGGCTGCTGTTGCGGCCCATGCCCAGACATTTCTCCAGGTGTGGAGCGAAGCGAGAGGCGGCTATTAATCTTTTACAGTTGGGACACTCGCACTCTTTGTTCTTCCACTGATTGTAAACCTGCCCAAATATGTCCACCCCGGGCTGGTCCACGATTTCTGGAGGAGAGAGCAGATAAACAAAAGGGTAGGCGGCCATTGTAGAAGACAAAAAATGACCACCAAAAAAAAAAGAACAATACCAACCGAACTCTTTCATGCTCTCTTGGTCTGTTTCATCCAGGAAGAAGTAGCCCTGTTTCACAGCGCGATGTACCTCAAAACACAGGCCCAAACAGGCATCCTCCACCAGCTCAGAGTAGATGTCATGCACCAAGGCCTGAAAAACAAAGATATAATGTAACACGGCATGCAAACCAGTTATTAGGCTTATAGAAAAAACCATCTACGGCATGTGATGCATTCCTGTCACCTCCAGCTTGGTGTTGTCTGGGCCTGAGAGGGGCATATCCTCCATTTTCATTTGAAAACCTGTGCAGGAAATCCTGATCGTGAGGTAACGAGACGCCGTCCTGAGGATTCAGAGCATACAGTTGTCACAAAGAGATCAAATCAAGAGGCAAATTGAAGGTAAAGTGGACAAAGACAGAATTTATTCATCAAAATGGCTTCAAAGTACCTACTTCTACAACTGTTATTAAGTCTTGGTGCTGACCAGACTTCATTCTGTGGAAGAGAAAGAAATATATTAAAAGATAGTTATTATTCTCACAGGTTTGACAACTGTCTTCTTTAATCAGACAACAGTCAAATCGTTCAGCAAGTAAATCTGCAATATCAGAGCTCTGATCCAGAGAATGAGAATACTAATACAAATACACAGTAAAAGGCTCTATTAGAGGCGTCCCGTGTTACAAGAGATAAAAAGAAAAGGGATATGTTCTCATGAACACCAAATGAGTGCGAGAAAGCCTCATTTTAATCCTCAAAACACCAGATAAACACCAAACAGCTAGCTAACGTAATTAGTAAACACGTAGGGAGAATGAAGGCGGAGGTAATGACCGGCTGGTTAAATTCATTACAGGTAATTGCAGCTTAGCAACAGGAAAACTGCACCGTAAACCAAAGCCGTCCCTTTTTTCTTTTTTCTTCTTTTTTTCACCCTCTGTCGACCTGTCCTGCTAGTCGGCTACACGGAGATTAATCAAAACATAATCTGACCAAAACGCAGCGACGTCGGCTGGATTTAAAACGAGCCACCGTTTGTTTCCTCTTACCCGGTCAGAGGCAGAAGTCAGCCTGTGCAGGGCAGCCTCTCTGAGGGGAGCCGCATTACCGGATCCCTCCGCGGCACGACGGGCGTTCACGGGGTGCCCGTTTCTAGGCGGCGGGCATCGCTAATATCGCAGGTTTGTCCTTTTTTTTTCCTGGAGTGGAGTGATTGTTATCGCAGGTGTCGGTTAGCTTAACTGACACAGAGGAGGCCGACCGAGCAAAGCCCAACAGAAAAGCACAACACGGCCCACTTCCGGTGTCGACTTTCGAAATAAACGCCGTACTTCCGAGGACACGGGGTGCGTTCAGGTTAGACTCTTCACTGTGGGAGAAAGCTAAACTCACTGGAACGTCTGAGGATTTCCACCATCACCAACTTCAAAACCAGGCGTTCCTCCGTTCGTGTATGTAATTGTTGGAGTGTGGTGAGTAATAGATTGTTTATTATCACTTCTGTCAGTTTGTACCCAATAAATCAGCGACAATACAGTCCATATATCTGTTATGTTTGACTGTGTTTGAATATGAACCTATGAACCAATTCAACCTTGAGATGCATCATTTCACAATCTCCAGTTTTATGATAATGAATCAGGATGTGAGAAACCATCCATCCAATTTTCTGAACCGCTTATTCCCAAATGGGGTTGCAGGGGGAATGGAGCCTATTCCAGTAGTCAATGGGCGAGAGGCCGGGCCACACTTACAGAAACACAAAGACGAACAACTACACACTCAGTCCTCAGGGCAATTTGGAATGTCCAACCAACCTAACATGCAGGTTTTTGGATGGTGGGAGGAAGCCGGAGAACCCGGAGAGAACCCACAGACACAGGGCGAGCATGCAAACTCCACACAGAAAAGTCCTGGTTCCCCCGGGGATTGAACCCAAGGAATTGTGCCAACCACCACACCCCCGTGCCGCCATGCCTGAGAAACCATTTGACAATTATCTCCCATTTTATTCAACTTTTATATAGATCTCATTACAATTCAACAGAAATGTTTCTTCTGTTCTGGTCTAATAGTTATTGTTTGAGGGATAAACATATTCAAAACATCCAGTATTTTCATAAATTAATCCATGTTTTAGTAGCAAAGTGTATTTTTGAAGACATGTCTCAAAATCAACACTTCACATTGTTTGGTGAGTTTACTTTGACAGTCCGGCTCACTTCCTTTTGCTTAATGCGGAAAACTTGACTTTTTTTCCTCTCGTCCAGACATCAATAAGTGAACAGCGTCGTCGCTCTCCATCTAGCATCAGTTTGTTGAGCCTGAGTTATTCGATGAGATCATCAGCAGTTTTTAGGGTGCAGTGAACGGGCGAGAAAAAGCTCACGTGGACACGTGAGCACCTGGTGTTTCCGCTTCAGTCACGGGCTGCTTTTCAACCAGAGGAGACTGGGGAGTGTTTGCATGGATCTCTGATTTTCCAGCATTCCTGCTTAAACAATCCCGACTCAGAACCAGTACATTAGTTAATGTAATTGATCAGAAATGGACGTTAAAGCCTGGCATAGTGTAATCTTGTCTGCTTTCCACACAATAACAGGAAAAAGCCATTATTTATTGGTCATATTTATGCATTAGGTCACTCAGTCAGAACTGGATTAGGGCTAATTTAAACATTTTTATTCCCCAAACTGGAGCAGATTTGAAACTATTAATAGTCTGACCCCTTAAGCTTTTTTTTTTCTAGAGAAACCATCCAGGGCAGTAACTTAAAGGCAAATCCAGAAACTTGTTCTCCCCAGAACTCTGATTTGGGTAAATCAACTACCACTGAAAAGCCATTTTTCAGATTTCATGTTAACAGTGATGGTGGCATTAAGAGTCTAAACCACAGGTGTCAAAACTCCGTTCCCAGAGGGCTGATGTCCTGCAGCTTTTAGAGGTTTCCGCTTGCAACACACCTGATTCCCATCAGCAGGCCTGAGCCGAGCTTTGTCTTTAAAAGAGGGTCCGTTTAATCAAAATCAGGTGAGCAGAAGCAGGAAACCATATAAAAACTGAACTAAAAAAAAACAACAGCTGCCAGGGGCCAGAATTCGACCCTCCTGACTGATCCAAAGAACCAAGATGCTCTTTGTGTGAATCTCCAGGAAGCGGTTCTGGAATGCTGGCAACTGGAGAGCAAGTTAGAGGATGATAAGCAACAGGTCTGCAATTCTCCATGTCTGCTCACGAGCTCTGCCATGACCTCTGACCTAATGCAAAGTAAGCTAAACCCTTCACAATGTGGGATTTCAAGCGACCTCATTGAAAAGAACTCCAGATAATGTGGATCTCACCACTTTAACACTGTTAGCGTGAAAGAAAAAGCTGTAGATTTAAACAAAAACGGTCAGAAAACACAGAGCCACCGACACTGAAACAGATGGAAACCGAGTACGCGTCTGGCATATTTTTTATTTTTTTATTTGCCCAAATACTTGAACTACAAGGACATAAACACCCTCAGCTATATAAAACATCAAATTTGTCAAATGACCAGCAGTACAAACTTGTAAAGCTTTGCTGTCATAGATATCTCTATAAACCAACAGAAGGGAGAGAAGAAACGAGTTAAACAGGTGAATTGAACCAAAAATTCTCTCCCGTGAGTGAAAGACTCACTTACCTCAGAAATCACAGATGAGGGTTTGCAAAAAAAAAAAAAAAAAAAAAATCAAAGAACTAACAAAACGATAAGCACTCAATACAAAAACAGTATTTACAGAAAAATTACATTTCTCATACCCCCAAAATCCACTGGCAAGTTCCTCAATCCCTTTAACAAATCTCAGTCAGTCAGTGTGAGCGAATGCTTTCCTTTTCCCTCCCTCGGGTGTTTAAATAGTCCACGCTGGTTTAGTTTCAGTCTGTGATGAGATTCATAATGGTGGAAATTCATCCGCGGCAACAGATCGATATTCGATCTGTCAACCAGCCCGAAAAAAAACAAACAAACAGAAAAAGACAGAGAAAAAACGCGACGATGGAAGCCTGGCCATCGGTCCGTATTCGACAGCAGAGACCTTTGGAAGAAAAAAAAAACAAAAAAACAAACCGAGCCGACAGTCGAGGGACATCTACATTCGTGGTGTTGGTAGGACGTCCCCGCACAGGCACACACGTGCACGCTGCGCTCGCTCGCTCACACCCCGGTGCGCACCACAACAGCAAACGACACACATTAAAGCAAAGAAACACACACACACACACACACGCGCCCTCATATATACACAACCCTGCATGCATGCACACAAACTCAAGAGGAGATTTACAATAAGTGCACACTCTTTTTCTTTTTTTTTTTTAGGGGGGGGGAAAAGGGGGGGGGGGGGGGGATTACAGTCAATACCATTTAAAATTCCAAGACAAACTTGAAAGAAGCAAAAGACCAAACCATTCATCTCGACATCCAGCTGTTCCAAATGTTCACGATTAAAACAAACATGTGAGCAAACGAACCGGATGAAATGCTGAGCGGGGGGGGGAGCATGAAAAAGGAAACAAAAACTAAAAAACGGGTATTAAAAGGTCAGACGGAGGCCGGGATGCAGACCGGTGTCAGAAAAACCGCGGCGAGGATCCCGCCAGCGTTTAGGAGCGCGGATGTGGATGTAAACGGCTTTTGACGCCGACGGCTCTTCCATTCTTACACGAAAACGAGCTTTGCAAAATGTAGCTAAATGAAGTACCCATAGGAAAATGAATACATTTATTTGGAAGCCCAAATAGGTTGTCAGCTGCTTTAAAAAAAAAAAAAATACTGTAAGGAATAAAGGAACATTTAAAATCAACTGTAACACGTTTGGTGAAAATAATTACTCAGGGAAAAGATTTAAAAAAAAACAAAAAAACATTCAAGTTTCTCTCTGTATTTAACTGAGATACCTCTGTACAGAATCAGTGTAACATAAGAAAATTTTAAAATAAAAACCAAATAAAAAAGATAATGATAAATTTGCACAGCTTTGAACGGCAGTCAGTGGACAGATGTGTGCTGGTTTCCCCCCAAAATGCTGCAGACGTGTCAAAAAGCCTACTTACATCCACTCTGACTCAGTGTTGTGAGCACTCCAGGATGACAAGTCCACAGGAGGTGAACACTTGGGACACCTTTTAAACGGGTAAGCAAGAAAAATACAAAAAACAAAAAAAAAAAAAAAAAAACCTGAGAAATTTTCCAAGAAAAGAAAAAAAAAAAAAAAAAAAAAGACATTCATAATGGCTTGACTTTTTTTCCTGAAAAAATACCACCTCTGTAATAACCAATTCGGAAAATCTACATCACACCTTTAGAATACAGAACAAAGCAACACGTTCTGAAAAAAAATATCAAAGGAAACATTCTGAAGAGTGCAATTTTTAGTGCCCCACAACCCCCCCCCCCCGTCCCCACCAGACCACGCTCTTTGGCTCGATGAAGCCTGCTCACCACTCACTCCGGCTGACTTGAACTAATTTTCCACAATAATAAAAGAAATGGGCGGGCAGTAATTGGCCCTACGGATTAAAACTCTAACCAGAAACCATTCCGCCTGCAAATGAATTGAACCGGGGGGGCAGAAATGTCCATGACATCACCAAGCCAGTGGGATGCTGTTTTTGGCATAATGTCAGCGGGTCAGACCCATCAAACCCAGGAGGGAATCGACTCGTTTTGGGGGGGCGGGCCCCCCCCCCCAGGAGCGGATTAGGGGGGCGGGGACCAAAGGGGGGCGAGTGTGGGGTGGATGAAGCGATGCGGGGCTCCCTCTGGTGGTGGGAGGAGGGCAGGGTTGGCACAGTGGCAGAGCTCCCTGGACTCTTGGCTCAGCTCAGCGCTGCTCAGTTCGTCTCCGGACGGACGGACGGCCGGTCAGCCGGTCAGTCCGAGTCCGAGTCCGACGACCCCCCCGAGTTGGACTCGCTGCTGCTGTCCTCCGACTTGTTCTCCTTGTCCTCCGCCTCGTCGTCGTCATCCTCGTCGTCGTCGTCATCCTCGTCGTCTTCGTCACCGTCCTTCTTTGGAAGAGGAGGAAGAGGAGAGACACAGATCGGCACGGTTCTGGGTCCAGCTGTTAGCCGGGGGGGGGCTGCCGGACGGAGGAGTACTCACGTCCTCGTCATCGTCGTCCTCGTCCTCGCTGGATGAGTCCGCCTCGGAGGAGGCCTTCTCCTGCTCGTCATCCTCGTCCTCGTCCTCGTCGTCCTCCTCCTCCTCCGTGTCCTGCAGACAGACGCGGGTCAGGCCGGGCACGCACGCGGCCGGAGGGACGCACGCGGCCGGGGGCACGGCGGCTCCGACACTCACCGATTTCTTCGACTTTGCCTTGGGGCCTCCTGGTTTGGCAGGATTTCTCCTTTTCTACAAAAAGAAATAAAAGAATGATACATTTCTTCCCCCCGCGTACTCCCCTTTAGCTTAAGGCCCAAGTTCACCCAGCAGCAGGCGTGCAGAGGGAGCTCACCTGGGAGTTGTATTCTTTGTAAGTGTTCCGCTCTTGTGAAGACAAACTCTGTGGACGCATGAAAGAGTGTGTTAGGTAAGAGCCTCTCCCAGACTGATGGGCATCTCTGTCCCCCCCCCCGGCTGGATCCTTACAGCCAGCCACTGCTCCAGCAGCACTTTGTACTGCCTCTGCTTCTCCTCGGCGATCTTCTTGTAGCGGTCCTTGTCCTTTAGGGGCAGCCTCTGCCACCGGCTGCCGATCTCCGTCATCCGCTCCTTCATGGGGAGGTGATTCAGCTCCCCGTTGGACAGCATCTCCTGGGAGAACTTCTGGTAGCCGTTTCTGGGCGAGGACATGAATAAGGCGTCAGGGCGTGGCGGTCTCAGCCACACGCAGCCGGGCGGCGGCCGCAGACTTACGAGGGCGGTTTCTTTGGCTCCCCCTCAAACTTCATCTTCTTTCCGGAGGCGATGGCGGCGGCCGGAGAGCGCATCTCACACAGGTCCCTCTGTCGGGGGAGAGGGGCCGGCGGTCAGCGCCCGCGTGCACAGACCAAAGCCGGCCACACACCCAACACAGGTGGTCTCTCACCTCGTATCTCTTCTGGTCCTCTGCCGCCTTCTTAATCCACATAATCTTCTCCTTTTTCTCCATGGTGCTCCAGGCCCCCTCCATGGCTTTCTGGGCCCGGGGACGGTCGCTCTGCTGAGCACAGACTCACATTAACGGGTTTATTCTGGTTTACATTTTTCTCGTGCTTCCGTTAGCTGTCAGCATAAAAAATATGAAGCATGTGCTTTTCTTTTTTGTTACTTTTGTCTTCAACGTGATTCTCATTAGCTTTCTCCAGTCTAAAGAGGTCAGTGATCATTTGTGGAAGCTAAAATGTGTGGCGACACAAATCAAAACATCTGGGCAGTGTGCGTCAAACTGAGCGTCCTAACCTTAAATCGGGCCAGGTAGTCTCCTATTACACTCTGCTGCCAGATTTCCTGAGCGGTCTTGGGCGGATCTGGCAGACGACTCCGATCCTCCTTCTCCTTTTTCTCCGACTCGGCTTTCAGGACCGCCTCTAAACGTTTGTACTTCTCCTGCAACATCACGACCACAGGAAACCATCCTAATTATTAATAAAAGGCAGACCACGCGTTGTAAAAGGCTTTGGGTGAGACCGGATGGACATTTCACCTTCTTTTTATCCGGCAGGTCGTTCCACATGCGGGCCAGGAGTCTGGTGAGCTCGCTGTCGGAGACGTCGGGCTTCTCCTGCTGCAGTTTGGGACGCTTCTCCTCAGCAAAGATGAACATGGCAGAGATGGGCCTCTTGGGTTTCTCCAGATTGGCCTGCAGACCGCGAGGAGTCAGTTTCCGACAAAGGCAGGTAAGATGGACTGTTGTCGTGGGGAAATGGGAAGCCCCAGCCCGCTTTGTCCCGGTCGTACCTGTGCTTTAGCGTTCTTGTTTTTAGTGGCAGGACTGATTGCTCTGCCGCCCTTCTTAGAACCGACCTTCTCCTCCCCCAAAACGCGCTGCTGCTCCTCCTCCGACAGGGTCTGTGGACGCCCAGAGAGAAGTCAGACACATGACGGCAGATGAGCCGGGAACGGGTTCAACAAGCAAACCGGGCAAAGAAAGACGGACTCACGCTGAGAAACCTGTTCATTTCAATCTCGTACTCCTTTTTCCTCTGAGGAGACAAAAAAAGAAACGCAGACGTTTTAGAACTGGCCGGCGGGGTTGCGGAGCGGGCTAACTGAGATAATCTGAGCCTGACCTGTTCGCAGCGCTTCTGGTAGGCGTCCTTCTCGTTCTGCTTCAGCAGCTTCCAGCGCTGGCTGCACATCACCATGCGCTCGGTGCTGGGAACGTCCTTCATGCTGGACATCAGCTCGGCGCAGAACATCGAGTAGCCGTTTCTGAAAGCAGGCACACAGCACGCGTGTCCAAAGGGCTCGTTCAGTGGGCGGGAGGCCGCTTCGCAGGCCGCCACTGACCGCTACTGACCGGCACCCGGAGCTGCCACTTACGGGGGAGGTTTGTCCGGCCGGCCGTCAGACTTGTCCTTCAGGTGGCGCTCCGCCTTGGTCAGGGTTGACTTCAAATAGTTTCCCTGGGTCATGTTCAGCTCTGGGTGCTGCTGTATGTACTCGCGCATCGCCTCCTGAAACATGGCAAACACACGGTTAGCGCCGACAAAAAACAAACAATGCTTCTGGTGAGGCATCAGAGGAGCAGTTCCCACCTCATACAGCTTCTGCTGTTCCAGGGACTTGGCGATCCATTTGAGCCTCTTTTTGTCAGACAGCTGCGTCCACTGTTTGCCCAGGCTGTCCTTAATGTCTTTGGTGGTCGCCTGGCGGCGGACAACGAGAATCAACGTGTGAAACAACAGGTACAACGACAGGAGTCGCATGCTGTGCCCCCCCCAAACTCACATCTGGATGCGTCTTTAGGAACGCCTTCTTTTCGTGGTTATACCACAACTGCTGGGGTGTCTTGGGCTTTTCTGGAACATTGGAACCTTTCTTGGCCATGCTCTCCACAAGGTCTGGGTGCTCTTCCCTGTTTACAGATCAGAGAGCCACATATGAATGTGTGGACTTTGCAGGGGGGGGGGAATTGAGCCTATTCAGCGCCGTTAGAAGCTGTGTTTAGTAAAATCCCACCTGAATTTCATCATGCTTTGCACAAAGCTTTCCTTGTCCCGTAGGAAGTCGTCGACATATTTTTTCTGTGCGACATGAAAACAGGAATTACTCAAACATCCAACAGAGAAACAGGGACTCTGAACCGTTCCAGTCTTTCTGTGCTTCTTGCCTACCTTCTTTTTGTCAGGCAGCTCCCTGTATTTCTTGGAGAGGATTTTTGTCAAGTCCAAGTTGCTCATCTCAGGGTGCAGCTTGGCGTATTTGGCCCTCTTTTCCATGAAGAACCGGAAGTATGGAGTCAAAGGCTTCTTGGGGAAATCTGGGTGTTTCTGTTCATTAAGGAGGCAGAAAGACTTCAGTCGAGAGCGCCATCCCCACGACTGTTTGTATATTAACTTTGTGACATACTGACTAGACCCACCTTTATTTTTTTGCCTTTATATGGGTTTTTGATGTAGTCCTGAGCATCAAATATCAGCTCCGTTAGAGTTCTGAATTTACGAATCTGGGGGGGAAAAAACAAAGCCGGTGAAAAATCTATTTTATAAATCTATCGAAAGCACAGAGGATGTAAAAGGTTTAAGGTCTAAGATAAGGCGAAACATCTGTCTTAAGTGTTTGGTTTGTGGGTTTAGATCATTATTTGTTTCACTGTTGATTCTCAAGTGGGAAAACAGCAGGGGTCGTGGTAAAGGACCCACTAATGGGTCATTGGTGGCTTACCTCTTTGGAGACCTCCTGCCACTTCTGCTTACACATCTCTGCCGTGTAAGAGTTGAAGGCCACCTTCTGCCAGTCCAAGTGGGACTCGGACGTTTTATATTTAGTCAAGTCCTTCTGTGGAAGGGCCACTTTCATGGCCTCCAGCAGTTTCAGGAGGTCATGCTGCGCCCACACTGTGGTCATTCAAAAACAGAACAATAGCACAACAGATGGTTAAACGGCAATTACAAGAAAAATAAATACAATTATGGTTTCAGAGTGACTTTCAGATTTGGTAAAGTGGGCAAAAGAAACATTTCTACACAGAAATCTAAAATATATTGTTATTTGGGGCTATTTAACTTTACAAATCTGTAGTAAGATCTAACCTTGGTCTTGGGTCGCTGCCTCCATGTCTCCATTCATTTGTGAAAATAAAGTCTTGAATCTGCATGAGAGGAAAAGAAACCAAACAGATCTGAATTAAACAAGGCGAAATAATTCATCAGAAACTGTATTATTCCAGTAAAAACTCGCCGTAAATATTTTAATAAAATAATGTTTTTTTTTACGAAAATGTCTTATTTGATAAGTTTATGACTATTGTTTTGAGTTAACTGCGCAGGAATTTTATTTATATGTGTCATAAAAGCCAAAGCGATGAGTCCAAGGGAATTCAAATTTGCCTCGACATAATGGTTTATGTTCATTACACCGCCCCTAAAACGTTTACGCTACATGGTGAGACATAGGCTATTGCTTGTGACGGCTTCAAATCTCAAATAACACTGCGGAGGGCTTCAACTAGCACAGCTAGCTGCGACTACAGGAGTCTCCGGCGAGCAAATTTCGCCAACCGGAATCTGGCGAATTAGTACCGTCCTTATTCCACAACAAAAGTGTCGCGGACACACAGGAGCAACCATTTTCTCGCTCGGTCTGCTCAGTAATGGAGGATTTTCTGCCGGAGCGGAGGTTGGGGAGGATCCACGGAAGGAGGAAGCGAATGGACGTGGACGGACAGGCAGCTGTAGGCGACCAGCTGACCACGGACGGGGGATCTGCTTTCGGTCTCCGAGAGGCAGGAATGGTAGCTTGGAAGCACTGCAGCCAAATGCGCCACTCGATAGAGGCGCCTCATCACCGCTGGATGCGGATCTAGCTCCGCCATGCAAACCTATAATCTTCCCCCTCGAATGTTTACCGAGTCAGGAGCGAGGGGAAACCTTATAATATTCGCTGGAAGTTAATAAATGTGCCACCAGTGTACATTTAGACCGTTTTGGTCGTGTTTTGAGGCTACACGTTCGAGTTAAGGAGCAAAACCCAGAGCATTCTTCAGCGAGGCGTAGCCGAGCTGTGCTCCAATGATGGCGGATGGTCGTTGTTCATCGTGTCCTTGATGGCCCCAGCTCTACCGTTTGACCTAGCTTCATGAAAACCACATAAATCGACGTTTAAATACTTCGAAACCCCTTTTACGTAAATTCGGACTTCTTCCAACATCGAATTTATAACATTGAATTCGAAAAAGAAAAAAATTAAGCATAGTGGTCTTTATATGTAGACGCCGAGGCACGGTACGACCAAGGACGACTTGGCACGCCACAGGAAGCTTAAATGAGACAATTTTACTCTTTATTGAAGATTAGAACTTTTTTTTGTGTAACACATCCCCGAAAGTGCGTAAAGCTTTCAAATATATGATAGGAAATATATTTTCTTTGAGGGAAACGTGAATTACATTAAGCAGTGTTTACAACAAATAATATCTAAAACTTACTTATTTTTGCTCGCTTTTTCTGTCGTGCCAGACAATAATTCAAAACAAATTTAAACGGTTCTGGATAGCGTCCCGGACCATTAGAAACGTCGGTAAACTGGGTTAAAAAGGACAAGCGGAGGCGCAGGAAGAAAGGAAAATTAAAAATATTTAACGCGAAACATCACTGCGTCGACTCGGTTTTTACAGGTTACTCGCAACGTTATTTTTGTACGATTTCGGAGACTTTTACAACGATTAGCAGTCGATAGACTTTTAGCAACGGCTCAAAGGAAACATGTCCGAGGCTGAGTAGCTTCTCTGGCGCGACAAACAGCTCCGGGTCCGCCATGCTTCGGCGCTGCTCTACAAGGAAACCTACCGTGACAAGGTCCAATGGCGCACTGCAAACGCTGAAAACGGAGCTTAAAGCTAAAGCCAGGGCGTTGCAGACTCCCTTCCCTCGATCCAAAAATCGCACAAGCGAGGAGGAGAAGGCGGGTTCTCCGAGCTCGGTCGTCGCTGGTTCTGGGCTAGTCGGTGAGAGAGTGAGGGGGAGAGGGAGGGCGAGTCTCTGAACGGTGAGATATTAAACCGAGATCCCTGATGGCTGACCGAGAGAGGCGGCTAGCTGTTCCGCCAACAGCCGCATGGAGGTCTCGGCGCGGAAACCACCGTTTATTCCCCCACGCAAACAACACGAGCCCGTCCCCAGCCGTTTAATTTCGACTAAAGGAAACCGCTTTAGACCGCCTCCCGTCTAAAATATAGAAGCAAACACGACAAATACCTCCAGGTTTTGGGTTGAGAATCTTCCCCGCTGTTAGGGACTAGAAATTCGGGTATGGCCGACCTCGTCTGTACCCTTGTTCAACGGTCGGTTTGTTCCGCGACTACAAAGAGGCTACCGCGCGAGGAGCTCTCAAGTGAAAAACAAAACAAATATCAAAGGGAAAATGTTCGACTTTTCGACGCCTTTCGGGTTTATTTCGCGCCCGCCCGGGTGGTTTTTGTTGAAAAAGCGAGCGGCCGCTGCGCTGCCCTACCTGTCTCGACGTTAGCCTCGGCGTCGCTGTGGAGGAAGAAGGGGAGGGTTGAACGATAGCCAGCACTGCGCCGTCGGTCCTGGGCTCCAGTCCCCGCAGAGATGGTCCTTCCCCCCGCCTCCATCTCACTCTCCGTCTCCCTCCAGTCATCACGCAGCAGTTCCTGCTCCATCCAACCATTTCGCTACGCCGACACATCCACATTTGCCCGATGTGGCGCCGTTGATTCTGAACGCACCCGGGAATGGAGATTTTTCCCACCGGGGACTCTCTTCAGCCGCAGTTTGCACGTCTGATATTTGATCGGGAAACTGTTGGCTAGATTAAATACAGAGATCTGTGTCTTATTTTAGCGCCATTAACGTAAACTAAAGCAATTAACATAAAAACGCACTTTATTCAGAAGTTATCATTTTTATGGAACAATTGTCAGATTTCCCCTTATGGAAGAGGCACCGTAGTTGCAGCGTCTATGTCGTCTCTTGCTACTCTAAAACCTCTTTTGCTGAATTGTAAGCGGTTGTTTGACAGCTTCAATTTGGACAGCATGTTTCTTTTCTTTTCAACTCCACCTTGTGTGTTTGTGGGCGGAACCCCGGAGCATCCAATCCAGTGAGACCTATTTGAGGAAAGCAAATGACTCTCAGGCACTCGTTCTTGTTAAAGTGTGTTGCGTTCACCTGCTATGGGAAAACAGATAGATTCATACAAAAACTACAAATAACAAATGCACTTTCTGTGTAATGAGGTTAAACTTTAAGCTTGTTATATGTTGTCAATATTTATTATTCAGTTTGAAAAAGCATGTCTAATGTCTTACATAAAGTCTTATTATAATTTGGATTGTATCTATGGTAAGGTTTACATCTGTAGGCCTGCATGTTTTTGTAAAGGCAGATTGAATGTATTTGTATTTTTTATACAATCTAATTTCTAGGGGGAAAATGCTTGTTTGTTTTTAAGTATGACCAGCATTCCCTTGTTCTGTAACAACAAACAGAGAGTTAAATCATCAGTCATTTTCAAGTTTTATGTAATCTAATAACATGAATGCTTAACTGCTAATAGTTTCAGAACAGTTTTTGACTTTATCTATATTTGTCATGGTATGTTGTTTTACTCTGGCAAAGGATATGTACTGAATTATGTTTACAAAGTCAAATAAAAGAAGCATTTGAAACTAGTCAATAATTCTCTGTGTTTGATTTACAGCTGATGACTTTGATTTAAAGTGGGTTTATGAGACAAAAGCTTCAATAGAATGTGTAGTTATTCCAATGTTACTGGTACGTTAATGTTGCCCAATAAAAGTCGACATACCTATTAATCCCTAAATATTGACCTCACTGCAATAGTTTGCTCTGTTTTTATTACTATGAGACCGAGAGAGTAGCTGAGAGTTTATTTACTCAACTTTTCTGATTAGATATAGAGAAGCTGATGTTTACGCGATTATCTTAAAGGCAACATGAAGCCTGGTGGCGAGCCTGAACTCTCCTTTTACTCCAAGTAAGAACTTTTCTTAAATCACAACCAATTATTTGTCCCATGGTGTGTTCTGTTTGCACTAGTAAAGCTTAGCGTTTTAAAAGCTTATTTTATTTTTATTAAAGTAAACCCATAGCATGTACAGTGTTTGAAGCGCACAAATGTGATTAGCAAAACAAAATGCTTCATAAAGGCATTTACAAAGAAATGCTTCCTTGTTTCCATCGGGGCAACAATCGAGTCTCACAATCATTTCTCATCATTGACTTCTTATAACTGCTCATTGCAGTTTATGAACACGAAAGCAATCCCACACTAAAATCAGCTATAAGTGAATTCTATATCTTTTTATACAAACAGGTCAACTCAACAGAAAACATTCTACCAACAACACATTAAATGAAGCAAACCTGAGAAACACAACAAAAAACATTTGCAAATAATAAGCTTCAGCCTGTAGACATAAAGAGTTTGTGATAGTTCCACTAAAGTAATTCTTTGGTCAATTTATTGTTATTTGTCACTTAAAATCTATTATAATGGGATAATTAAATAACATTCTAAAAAACACAGGGGAAAAATGAGGGGCGGATTATGCTTCGAAATTTAAATACCGCTGCCCACCAAGATAAACATATATTAAAAATCCCTTGACATTATGATGCATTTGAAAAGGGTTCTAATGTGTGTTTTCCGTGGCAGTAAACACACACTCAGCTGCAGGATATTTGTGTAAATATGAAAAGAAATGTCCTTTAAGGATAAATAGTAACAGAACAGTTTGGAATTACAAAATACATTAATTCAATTCATGTTCGAGGCTTAGGCCAGTCCCAGATCCTCAGCTTCGTCATCAAATTTCACTTTGGCGTCATCTGCATCCAACTGCAACACAAACACAGAGAAACCCGCACGTCAAATCACAGGGCAATGTTCGAGTTAGGCCTGGGGAGAAAGTCTCAGGTTCGAACAAGAACTTACGCATTTCATCTCCAGGGGAGTAAAGATTCGTCCGGTCATGAACATGCGAAGAGGGACGGTTAGAATGAGAACGAAAGGCAGAGCCAGAGAGAAGGGGCTCATCTTTATCACCCACAGGACGCCCAGGCACAGAAGCTGGATGAAAGTGAAAAGGTGCATCCGCATTGTGTTCACCTGCAGAGAAGACCACAGAGATGGGGGTCAGAGGAGAGGCTGAAGTCAAAATGCTAACAAATGCCCGGCGACGTTGTGACCACTGAGAGGAAAAAGTCAATGCGCGAAACTCCAAAGATATAAAATCCCAGAGATGAGCAGGTGTGAAAATGTGTGTAAAAAGACTGTTGCCATTGCTTGTTAACAAATGAGTACAACAAAATTCTAAATGGAAGGCAAAAAGAGATAATAAAATCTATGTTTTTGCCTTCTTTTATGACAAAAGGAGGCAAAAACATGGACAAAAAGAGAAAACACTTAGTAAAACGTGTGTCATCTGCATGGACACCTAAAACAGTCCCTGAATAGGCACAAAAGATTCAGAAGGCAAATACGAACATTTGAAAAATGACTCCTGTTCCTAAAATCATACCACCTGTCTTTGGGAGTGAATTCTCCCAGACTGAAACTAGAGTTGAAGCTAAATAAACAGTATTTGGGAAGGATCTGTACCCTGGTGGCGTAGGCATCAGAGGGATGGTATTTCTTTGGCGTAATGAGGAGAAGCATCCTATCCCACATCTGGACTCCACTCAGAGAGGTGATACCCATGTACAGGAAGATACCAAACAAGGCGGTCATGGGAATCATCTTCAGAATGGGTTCCATGAAAATGGACGCACCTGAAAGTCAGAGAACGAGCGATTTGAGGAATAATGTTGTATTCGTTTTTGCTTTTTGCAGCTGTAATGTGACGGACGGCAGCACCTACCAACCAAGACGGCCACGAATAAGCCGCTGATCCTCTGCTCGATGACCTTCTCGATTTCAGGTTTGGGGCCCTTGGACATGACCGTGAGGGCGTTGGCGTGGGTGACCGAGCGCACGGTGGCCGCGCTGAGCCAGGGCACCCCAAAGATGGAGGATATGCCCCCCATGGTGACCAGCAGGAGCAAATCATAGTGGAATCCGGATCCTTTCATCATTTTCCTCTCAGGTTTGCTCACAATCAGCCTGGGGTCCACATTGAACATACAAAAAGTTTGTGTTTGACTGGATTCACGTGAGATGAAGACAAAGATGGCCTGACATTCAGAGTAACTCACGTGGTGATCTGGGACTCCATGAAAATGAGGATAAAGACCAACAGGGCAGGCACACAGCTGGCACCCATCATCCAAACGGGGAAATCCTTCTTTTCTCCCATGGGATTGATGAACCAGCCTCTGGCTTTAGGGTTGGTCACTTCAATACCTTTTGGCACAACAAGTTTCTACAAGACAACAGGGATTCATTCATATACACATAAATAAAGTGAATTAAACAGGAATTGTTTAAAAATAATTGTGATAATAAAGAGTAAAATGTGTGATTATCGATATGATGATTGAATGTTGAATGCATGGTAGAATGAGAACTATTATTATTATTGTTGTTGTTGTTGTTAAATCATCAAAGATGAATGGCGAAATGGAAATATTCATAATTTCAAATCGGTATAAGAGAGTTAATTGTATTTAGCTCTCTCTGTGTAAGATTAGGTCAAATACAAATATATGTTACTAATTATGGTCTGTTAACACAAAATCAATATTACTCCCCATGATTCAACAGACTTCAAGTCATACTGAAATCTTTGTGATTTTGATCCCTAAGAATATGGATTATCTTATTTTCCCAATCTACAAGATGATCGGCTTAAGAAAAGTTACCTGGGTGTATGCATCCTCAATGCTGATGTCTATGAAGATCATGACAAAAATGGCAATGGGAACTCCAAAATCTCCAATCAAACGACGAATCTAGAAAGACGGGAAAAAGCGCACTAGGATCAGAATCAGAAAAAGGAGATATTCTTCATGCAAAATTGATTAAAAACGTGGTCTTACTGGGCCGGGGAAGTAGTTCCCATTCTTGAATGATCGGAGGAAGAATGCGATGAAAAAGCAGCCAAACATCAAGCACATAGACAGCAGGGCGGTGTTGGGATATGGCCTTTCAATCTCCACCTCCTTAACGGTCACATTGCCGTCAGGGTGAATCTCAATGTGCTCTTTGACAACCGGGTGAAAGGGGTTGTCCAGTGTATCGTTCAGATGGTCGTAGTTTAGGATCAGAGGGTGGGTTTTGAAGATCTGAGGAAGAAGAAAGTAGACGGTTACAGATCAAACTTCCATTAGCTCAGATCAGCTGGGAAATGGATGAAGGAATGACATGGGGAAACCTTCATGAGCTTTGCGAAGGTTTCATAGATGAAGATGAGCGAGATGAGGATGGAGAAGATTTCTTGGGTGAAGCGGGAAATGTATCGGACCAGGAAGCTGCCCTCCATTGCCACGATAATGACCACGATCACGACCAGCCACATACCCACCCAGATGCGACCCACGATGTACTCAATGCCCTGTGACTTGCAGAACTAATATGGGAGGATAAAAAAAACAGGAAAAAAATGGATTTCAGAAAAAAAGTAGTTCCTTAAATAGTTTTTCTGGGGTCTTAAGATCTTTTAGCTTGCGGCACATACAACAAAAAAAGCTTCCTCGAACAAGAGCAAAGGTCCAGAGAAGCCGATGACGAGAACAGGCTGGGCAGCAATGAGGCAGAAGATGACACCCTGGACACAGGTGGAGACCATCAGCTCTGAAACGCCCATCATCTTATCCGTTTTGTCAGCTAGGGTCAGAGTCAGAGAGAAGACAGGGTGGGAACTTAGTAACACGGCCGGCGATTAAAGGTAAGAAAGGACTTTTCTCCCCAGGAGTCTCTCCTTTACCTAGAAGCCCTCCAAAGGTGATGGCTGGGGACAGGGCAGCGAAGTAGATGAAGATGATGGCAGCCAGGACCTGAGCGTTCAGGGCGTCTGTGTAGTCGCTGATGTAGTGGCGAAACCTGCGCTTCATGTCTTTCACCATTCCACCGAAAGGATAGCCTGTACGGGCCAGAGGGTCCTCCCTCGGTTCCTCTGGACCTGCATCAACTGGACAAAATATTTAAAAAAAAGGGTTACTTTGATTGCTCCCAAACCATAATTGTCTGTTCAGAGCTCTTCGTTACTTCTCTGCCAAACAAGAAATCCTTAATGGGTATTTTCTCCCAAAAAACAGCATCCCTTTAAAGAGTTTGAGGCCAAATAGAGGCTCCTTTGCACATTTCTTTGTTTTAAACTTAACAGTTCCATTGGTGAACTCTTACCTTTGGCACGGTCCCCGAAGGCAAGGCGGGTGTCGCAGGGACGGAGTCTGTCACGCAGCATCTTCTGTTGGAAAGCGATGATCGGCTCCAACATCACCTTATCCTGGATCTCGGTGGGAGGAATCACAATGCTGCAGTCCATGAAGTCAGCGATGGCGTTGGTTACGTCTTTTTCAGTTTGGGCCAGAAAGACTTCCAGACAGAACACCTGACAGAGTGGGGATGAGGAAAGCTCAATTCCTTTGCCAATGCTGCTTTCCACTGTCTCTTTCTTTTCCTTGTCCTCTTACCCAGTCGGCCATCAGAGCACCCATGGCACGGCCACTTTCGCTGTAGTTTACCCCGGCGTCGCTGGGTCCCACCATCATAAAGACGAAGCGGATAGGCACCGCTGACTCCAGAACGGACTCAATGACAATGGAGTCAGCCAGCCTGACGAAGGCCACCACCGGTTTCTGCAGGAAGTCGAGGGCGCCTGTGCGAAACACTCTTTTATACAGATCTGCCTCCGATGATTATACGAAAACAGACCACGAAACGCATCCGAAAAACCTACCTGTGAGAATAACGGATGCCTCCATGTTGTCAGAGCTCTCTCTCTGCCGAGCAAAACAGTTACAGCAAAGTTAGTTTGACACACTTCTAAGGGGTTAAAATTAGATTGTAGCGTATTATGAAAGTTTACCTTCTTCGTGACAGAAAAAGTCTGCATCTGAATGTCTCCAGCGGGAGTAACGACAGGTCCCCCCGACTGACTGGAAGGATGAATAAATAGAGTGAGAACAGCACGCTTCAAACGTGTTAGAGAGGTCATCCTCCAGCAGAAGGAAGTGTGAAACGAGCTCCTGGGGTTACCTGCGTCTCATGAGCAGAGCTCTCAGCAGGCCTTCCCGATCACTGGCACGAATCTCATTCTTGTTCAGCAGCTCGTCGACCATTTTCTCCGCCACAGAAGACAGACTGCTGGCGCTCATGTCAAAGATGATGGCGCCTGGGGAAGCAGGGTTGGTGTTACTGGGACTCTAAACTGTTTACGCAGGATTGTGCCACATTTGTGTAGATTTTTGTTCCATTTAAGGTCCAACACTCACCTGTACTCAAGGTCCTGCGGACTTGAATCAAGCTCTTGAAGGCGAGATAGGAGACGTGAGAGGAGCCCCATTTTCCGGAGGCAGGGTCAAAGTTTTCCTCGTAGCCGACCCATCGGCTGGTCTCCTGCCAGCTGTTACCCTGAAGCTCGTTCAGTTCCACGTAGGCCTGGTTATGGATGTGATGCATCAAATATGAACGTTCCAGCATGTGTGTTTTTCATATGCACAAACTTTCATTTGAAAGAGAGGACTAACCTGGGCATCCCCTCTTGTGGTGGCATTAGTGTTCACATTCAGAAAGGCTGCAATACAAAGATAGAAAAGTGAGTTTTTTTCTTGCTGAATCTAGAGAAATCCCAAACATGTGCATATATTTCCGTAATAATTCACCGTCTGAATCACTGGGAATGACTATGGTCTCCAGAGGAGATTCATCCTGCTCCTCTTCCTCCTCCGGCTTCCTTTCAAGATCAACGGTGCCGCTCTGGCCTGGGGAAGCCCTGGTGGTTTGGGGAAAAAAAGAAACATTAACCAGGACAAGGCATGCCATGCGTGCTTTTCAGCAGTATCTTTCATGGTCTCGTGGTCAGTCCAGATGCCATCGACATCAGGGTAGATGTTGATGTTTCTGAAAGCCGGAGTCCTGCTCTGAACTGGTGTTCTCTGTACGTCCACCAGGTGGCAGCACCACACTGAGTTTCTCCAGGGAATAGCTTGTGATCCGTCATGGCTAGAAATGCGGCTATTTTAAATATTTTCTTCCCCCTTCACTCTGTTCCACGTTATACGGTCAGTATTTCATTTATTCGTCATGGGATGTGTTATTTCTACACTACATTAATTCTTGACAGCATCGATGATCACAGCATGACTTGATAACACTAAATCCACAACTCTTTGCAATGTGTATTAACATTGATATGAATTATTATTTTAAACAGGATATTAAAATAATAATTAATTGCAGTCCTGCTGCTGCATCGAAGATACTTAGAAAGAAGGTCACGTGTACTGCAGGCTGAATCCATTTCACAATGCAAAAAAAGTTGATATGCACAGCCGGACTTGAGCCACTTATTGGAAATCTTGCTGAAATGGTAAACTGCTCACGCACAGTCTGGGGTGAGAAAGACCTATTATCTTATCAGAAACAGGGTGCAGAAAGTCTGTGTGGAGGTCGTGGTGGAGGCCAGAGAGGCTTATAAGGGGTACTTACTGTCTCACTGGAGAGGGGAAGGCTGGGTCATTGTCTTCATATGACATGTCACTGCCCTAAAAAGTGAGATGGACAAAAAGAGTTAAGGGAAGTCGTTGGAAGAAAATGGATGTGGGAAAATACTTATTCCAGCGAACCTGAATACATCTAAAAATATTGGTTTCATCCTGACAAAATCTTAGGCTTAATTCAGACTTCTATTTATTTAATTTAGCATCAGTTATAAAATCTGATGAAGGTAATAGATGACAAAAGAAGACCAACCTCCTCGAAAGTGAAATTGTTCTCCATGAATGCTGAAATGTCTGTCCTTCAACTCTCAGCTGCTTTACTGCATTCCCTAAAACAGAAATCGATGTAATCAAAACACCCAAATATGGAAAAATACTATCATGATTGATGAATACCAGGAAATCTTGGAACAAATACAAATAAACCGGCTCGCTTTGACGAACATTTCATGTCGGTTGGTGCACGTAAATCAACCTAACACAGGTTTTTCTGACATTTAAAGACTTTCGCAACAACCACAACAAAGTGCACACAGGCAGTTTGAGCATTCAAACTGCTTGTGTGTTTTTATTGTTAAGGGAAAGCTTAGATAAAGACTCCATTGTCGATCATCACAGGCTGTACTTTGAGTTGGCCTGCAGGGACGCAGCTCAGGGCAGATAATCAATTGGCCGTTGACAATTTGAGGTACGATATAGTTTCAATAGAGGACGACGCGGCCTTATCTTTGGGCTACACCCTTCTACCAGACACATCTGTTCACCTAGAAGCAAAACGTTTGAAACACGTAGCTTGAAAAAATACGGTGACATAAAGTAATTCAGAGCATATTAGATCAAATATTTGATTGTCACAACCAGATGGTTCAGCTGATTGTTTTTTAGTTTTAGACGCGTTGTGGGAGTATTCTGTTTGACAGATATCAAACTTTCTTTGCTGTAAAGTGCCCCTGAACATGTTTCCACGCACTCATTCTGCACAGCATTAGACAACCACCTTTCATTTCGGACAAAACTGATTATTTCCATTAAATGTTGGAACACTTTTCCACACAAAATCCCCAAAACCTTGAGGTTTCTGGAGTTTTTTTCATTTTCCTCTCCAATAAACCTACGTTCTTGTGTCTTCAACAAGCAGAACATTAGATATTCGGAAACTAAATGACACAGAGTCATTTTTTGCTTAAAATTATTTTCCCCTTCCATCAAGATAATTTAGTCTCATAGTTCATACTGAATCCCTAGAAATTGCTCTTTGCCGGATACCCAGTTATCCATCTTGCTTGAACTCTAGCCTTTTGATCGTTAGTGTCTAAAAGGTGTGTCCAGCCCATGGCCAGGGGAGGCCACACCCCTACCTGTGTGCAGGTATTCCCACCTGGACTCCAGCACTGGAACCGGGACGTCCGCTGCCTGTCAGCCTTGAAGAGCCCAGTCACAAAATGAGCCAGAACAAACGAAAAGACGACTTCAGCGACAGACCCAGCGAAGCGGGAACACCCACACCAAAGTACGTAGTCGCCGAGAGGTGCAGTACCCCCCGAACCCTCTGGCCGCCGCTGAGTGTGGCGGTGGGCGGGGGCGCGGATGACATACAAACATCTCTATCAGTCTGGGACACCTTGAGACAGGGATATCCCAGCCCTAATTTGCCACCCCGCCCTCTCTACTTGAACCAAGACCAAGGCCGGGACAGAAGCTGAACTTCAACCAGCCTGAGGGGCACACAGGGGCAAAGGGGGCAGAGAAGGGGGCAATTACAGTATCAACAGATCAACTTTTTACGTCATCTTCTTTAAATTCTGGGGATTCCCTCATCCTGGGGATTGGGGACTCTGGTGGTTAATTCCAAGCCATGCGATGTAAATACGGTAAACATCTTTTTATCTGACAGCCCTGAAACCCAGTTGGTTTGTCAGTGGTCCATGTGAGACCATAGTAAGAAAGAGAGAGCTCTGGACTGGTAGAGTGGAGGTGAGATACTGACAGATGATTCAGGGCGCCATGGAAACAGAAGAGCATGGTTCATGAAGATCAGCTTCTGGCAAAAACAGAGAGCATACAGACACAAAGTGATACACCGTCAAACTAAACAGAAGCCGTGTGTCAGTCACACATCTTACGATGACACAAAAAAGAGGCCATCATAGAAGCCTTTCTGAAGGCCTCAGAATCAAAATGCGTAACGTCTACAACAACAGAAATGTGAGTTTGTGCTCTCCTGAAATAAGAGGGGAAAAGGGCCATGAACCTGCAAATGATTTAAAGCCTAAACTCTGAAACATTACTGATCAAAGAGAGAACAACACTCGTGCTTGGATGAGATCATTGCTCTCGGCTTTCTCCACCAGCCTCATGAGATCAGCATCGGAAGTTCTTACAAGTGCCGAGCATGTGTCGGTTGTTGTTGATTTTCCTCAAACCCGAACCCAGCTCGGCCCAGATCAGGTCAGGTCAAGGCCAGGTCGCTGCATTTCACATCTAAACCTTTGTCAAAACATCTCACAGAGCCTGGAGAGGCTCTTCCTCCCTATCTTATGACTCATTTACTGTGCAGATAAGGAAACATGAACATCTCCTCACCATGTTCATAATGGAGGATGGTTGTTGTTCACTTCATCCTGTGCTTCTTGATGTTCATCTACTGTACGGGACGACTGTCGCTCACCTGGTGCCTGAAGGGGCAAATGGAACTGGATGTACTGGCATGTTAGAGCCGGTTGAAGATCCTTGGGCAGTGGTCTCCTGGTGGGTCCAGAGTCAGGATGAGTTTAGGATTTATGCTCCTAAAATCTGGACCAGTCTTCCTGAAGAACTGAGCCAGGCCTCAACTCTGACAATGTTTAAATACAGACTGAAACTGTTCTATTTAGACAACCCAATGTATCTTATCTACACTCTTCACTTATTTAATCAATGATTGCTTTATTTGGTTTAATTTAATCTTCATTTTCTGCTTTTAATCTCTATGTAACGCACGTTGAATTGTGTTAAACACAATTTGCTTAACAAATAAACTTGCAAATACATCTTGCTCTAACTTCAATTTAAGATGTGCTTCCTGCTACTGTAGGATCTCTTCAATAATGGAACAAGAATACTCAAACCCTCATTGTCATTTATCTTATACCCGCAGATAAATTCTTTATTCTAAGAACAAAGTATTTAGATTTTCCCATCAAACATTGAATGCTTCATCACTGATAAAGACCCCAGTTAGTGACAGTTGTTGGGGTTCAGATTTTCACTGCTGAAACTACTAATGATCCTTATTTCATGTTTGTTTTGACCTGCTCATTAAGAGCTTATTACTGAGATTCCTCGTTCATTGCATCTCTAAATATTTGTGCTCACTTTTTATTGCATGCCATAATGTCAGCTCCACCATTTGAACTGACTTTTGAGAAATGTAGAAATCCACCACCACTGAGTTCTTGTTGGCCTCCTTTTAGCTATGGTGGCTGCAGCAGAGGAGCTGCAAGGCCTCCACGGTGCTGTGAAAAGACCTGATAATCTTATCCCACAATCACATGAAAATGTCACAAGGACTATTTGTAGCGACAGGAGCGGCCGGCTTTGTTCAGAGGAGGTGAAGTCAGGTGACTGTGGAGGAAAGTCCATGACAGTCAGCACTCCCAGGCATGTGTGTGTGTGTGTGTGTGTGAGTTCTGTAAATCTATGAGGTGTGCTTAGTATTCCAGCTCTACAACCCACAAAGAAGAAGCCCAGAGGGTGGAGCATGTCACCAGTGCCCCTCTAATGGGTCGGGATAGACTCGATACACAGTGGGAGAGTCCTGAGGGAAAAATATTCTGTGGACTTTTCTATCTCCAGCATCAAGTTTCACTGTGGATATCACCTGAGTTGATTTTTCCATCTCACAAAGTTTCTTAAAGTTCCACTAATTGCTCCCATTGGAGCCCCGTGCGTGATTCAAAGCTTGAAAACCAAACACAATGCCTCCATTTCATTTACTACCATAACAATGCAGCAGAATAACAATGATGAGCTGGAAAACTGAAGGAAAACCCCATTTATGGCAGGTAAATATGACTAAATTAGACTGACTTATTCAGAGGGGCCTCTTATGAGTCAGTGAAATACATTTGACTGATTATTGCTCCAATGGGGTAAATTCTGACCTCCGTTCAACGGAGCTGAAATGATCAGTGTCACTAATTGGCACCAACAGCGCTGCTGACACATAAGTAGAGCAGAGTGTGAGATGTTTATTTTTCTCATAAATCACAGCTTTTAGAGTTTAGATGTCTCTTAATCTTTTCTTAAAATCTTAAACCATGCGTACGACATATATGTCGGGAATGCTTTAGTTTAGATTTCATTATTATAAGTTTTTCAAAATGAATCTGCACATGAAATTAGATTCGAGAAGCACTAATGTGAGGAATGAATAGAATTATATCTGAGAATGGCTTTATATACAAGTCTGGAGACTTTTTTAGAGCCTTTTTCAAATGTCTGGGTACTGAAAAGAGCCAACCAGGGCTGAAAAACATTTGCAACGCGGAGCCGCGGGCAGTAGGGGACAGTGGGCCCCAGCTGAACACACTGAAGGCACAGGCCTGTTATCGTAAAGCGTTGAAGCTATCTGCTTCGTCCATGTGCCTCAACACCAAGTCTACAGACACTCCCAGTTTACGTATAGCACATTTTCAACAGACCCTTTCATATGTAACATACATCACACTTAATTAATACTATTCAACAGAAGAAAAAGAAGAATATAACATATTAAAGCACTGTCAAATAATTAAGTTCACACAAATGTAGACAAAATTTTATTAGTCGTTTCACTTTGTTAGAAAGAAATATGCAGACAAAACAAAAAAAAAAAAACTCAAAAGAGTAAATGCCCTGATGGCGGATATACAACATGCCATTTCAGCTTATAAGGTTTAAAATAGTTAATGGAATGAGTCAATTCAGCCTAATTGTGTATAAAATTATTCATTAATTCATCTAAATCATAACTTGTACGGATAGTTGATCCTGTAACTGCGTATGGGGAGCTGTCCAGTGTGCAGCCAGGGGGCTGAGCTTTTATACACCTCACCGTGGAAGGTCCGGCTTCAGCTGTCTAATGGGACGACTGACTGAGCTCTATCAGGGTTTCAGCAAGCAGGCTGCTGCGAGTTATCGCTGAGGGCCAGAGCCAAAGACCCACCTAGTCACAGCGCAGAACCACCACTCAGTATGTACGCTATCATCCCGATGGGGAATACACGGAGCATGGCTCAGTGTTAATTCACCTCCAGTTAAAACCAGCTACATATTCTATTTAGCCTGATCAAGATCAAATGCTTATAATTAGCTAAGTATATCAGTATATTTATCTGTTTTAATTCAATCCCGACATTGCGCATAATAGTCATTTGCAGGTATAAATCTTAATGAGGTTTTTTTCTCATGATATATCAGGAAATGATCGTAATCTGCATGACTTTTTGGCTCATTAATAGTTTACTTAAGCATAAATCAAGCTAGTGTTTATTTCATACAGCACATTTAGTGAATTCATTAGAGAATAAGCGGTAACTAGAATGGATGGATGGATATTTAAATCAGCATATTGTTTGCACTTTATAAAAAACAAATTAAACAATTCCTAATCTGAAATAGAATTTGTGTATGGGAATAGGAGTGCAAACGCCCCCCAGCGTTGGAGTGTGTTTATCAAGCAGCACATTTAATTAGTCATTTGACTGGCGTGTGACAGCAGCTCTGGCCAGGGGCAAAATATGGAAAACAGCTCTTTGTTGAGTCTGGCGCCCCTTAGTGCAAACTTTATTACAAAGCACTGCCTGACCACATAATAATTAGCTTCACTAATTCGAAGTTCTGCACTGAAAAGGTGGAATAATTCTAATTTTCACACTCTGATTGACTTGAGGAGTCAGTTACTAACCAACTGTGGAAAGTTCTTGCACAGTTTCAGGAACTGCAAATTGAAGCTCTATTTAGACAGAGAGGTTCATGTTTAATATCCCGATAGCAGAATCGAATAGAAGAAAATATGTCTGGACTTGAGTTACTTCAGTTCATTGTTTAGCCCAAACAGAAGACCTTGTTTTCGCTGACATAATTAGATGTTGCTGGCCAACAATCTCTGGTGACTCATTTAGGGAGCCACCCAAAGGAAAGACTCTTTGTTCCACGATAAACACACCCACTCAGGACTTCTCTTAAAACATTTGAGGGAGTCATGCAAAGGCTGAACATAGAGGTAAAAAACAAAACACAAACAAACCCACAAGTAGTGAACTAAGTACAACTGGAAACAATCATTGCCTTTATTGAAAGTGTGTTGTTAGACAGTAGTGTAAATAATTCAAAGTCATTCTTGGAAAAAGAGCCGATCCCATCTCTGAACCTGAAAGACCAGTGAGTGATGATCTTCAGACGCACAATTGAATAATGCCTAGAGTGCAAACAGCCTGAATGCCTCTCACACAGACAGCGAAGGTGGAACAACAGGTTTCAACTGGATACTTGGTTGGACTCATGATGCAGCTGATTTCACAAATATCAAAATCAATGTGGAAAGCTTTTCTGTGTCGACACGAATAAGCAACGAAACTAGATGAACTGCCACGCCTTGTGACACAGCAATTCTAAAACTATTACACAGTTCTCACTGACTACTGTAGAGACACTGTCTCTCTTTTAATTTAGACATTTTATGTAACTTTTTTTGCAACATCCTTGCTGAAAAATAAACCAACAAACAAAAACAATTGGCAAATCAGAGTCCAGGCAATGAGGCTACAGGAAAAGAAAAAGACAAAAAGTGAGATCCCTTCAAGACATCTGACACGTCTTCTCCCTGTCTCTGTTCCCATTTGACGGGAAGTCCAGGCATGGATTCCTCAAACCGTAGCCTTTTTCGATTTTCAGCTACGGCAATCATTAACAGCCCGGAGCATCCGATGGGAGCAGAAAGGGGAGCCGAACGGCAGAGCAGAGGTGGGTTAACCTGGATCACAGGAAGCAGCTATAGTGGTCGCCATCGCTCCTCCCGGGCCTGCTTCTGCCGGGGCCGGGAGGGAAAACCGGAGGTGGTGCTGCGGGTCCCCCCCACCCTGCTGGATGCTGCTGCTGATGGTGGTGTTGGAGCATCACAGTGAGGCTTACATGATGACGCACGGCGGCCGGCTTTTGGTGATCTTCTGCGGAACTTTCCCATCGTAGGCGGCCTGCGCGGCGTCCATGATCTGTGGAGGGGAAAAGCCATCAGAAAAACCCACCCCCATCGTGCAGTGGCTTGCATTTCATTTGTGTTCATTACTTACATCATCCTCATATGGGAAGCCTTTTGTCTCGAGCTTGGAGAAGACCAGGTGCCCGTTGATTTCTATCTCAAAGCTGCCTGAAATGTAAGAAAACGACTAAGTCAGAAAAAGCACTTTCGATGACAAAATCACTGACAGGATTCAGCCTAAAAGGCGAAACAACGGCGGTCCATCACCGCCCATGGGACGGCTTTATCTACCTGATCTTCCCACGGAGCCGGACACGTCCGCATCGGGAAACTCAGCCTTCACGGTGTGGGCGAGCTCCCGATAGCGGGGTTCGTATCCTCATGCCCCGCTGCGTTAGAGGAAATCCCAACAGGAAAGTCAGTTCTCAGACCAAACAAAAACACAGACTCATTTTCAGCTAAGCGGCGAGCTAACGCTGCTAGCTTCACCTATCCGACACTGCACCTGACTTTCGAGTGAGAATTACGGAGAGGAGAGGTTCAATAAGCCTGGAATCTCACGAGAATCGAGATAAGTTCGACAGAAAGAGCTACTCACCAGTATTCGACTTTTACTGTCAACCCCATTGTCGCAGCTCCTTGCACGCTATCTGCCACTATGTAACTCGCTTCTTGTGTAACTGTGAGTACTGGGAGGGGCGGGGCTTAGTTACGTAATACGTAACATGTGCGTAAAATCAGCGTAACGCGTGTAAACATCCCGGTCAGCCCGAACAGGCTGTGCGCGTGCACACGAGACGAATTTAATGATTCCACCTTTTATTTGTCACCAGTTTTGATACTGGAACTAAACTCGTCCAAACACTCACAACTTTAAACATATGACCAAGAAAAGATAAGGAGAGTTTTCACGCGGTTGTTTCCTTTGATACAATTGTGTAACTGTCACACTCATCAGGCTGCATATCAACTGCTGCCAGGGTTCAAATGTATTGATTTAAAAATATATATCAGGTCAATATAGAAACTTTTCGTTTTAGAATTATTACTCATAGATAGTCAAATTTCTGGACCTCTTTAAATCCTAATTGCTCTGCCTGTTTTGCTATGAGTTTTATCACCATCAACTTAGAAAGAAATATGGGCCACTATTTCAGGGATTTATACCAATGTGGACATCCAGATTTCAGGATTTTTGTTTCACTTAATCAATGTATTTAGACATTTGTGGCAAGATACAGCTCTCCTTCTCTGCACGGCAAAGCTGCGTAGACCACTAAGAACCCTTCACCAAACAGAGATTGCCCAATTATTTTATCATTTTGCTCTGTTGAAATGGAAGCAGATATCCAATCTAACCCCGCACTTAAAGAAATAACTACACATTTCCAGACACGGTTCCCTCTAAAGTTCATAAAACATCTAAACCCCAGGGCTTTGCTGCCATGCAGCCTCTCCTGCTGACAGACCAGCTGACACCTGTGTTGGAATGCAGAGCACCGCAGGAGCGAGCGTATTCTTCAACCTCTCCCCCATTGATTTCAAGTTCAGCACTTATCCGGGCCTCAAGATCTCAGATTATCAAGCAAATTGGATAAGTAGTAAAGCAGATTTGAAAGGTGGGAGGTCAGGAGGTTGACATCCCGGTGAGATGAGTTTCTCTTAAGTTGACTTCAAATTGGATTCCTTTATTTAACCAAGAGCTCAGACATGAACAAGCTATTGTGCAGGGTAAACAATAACTATCAGGATGCTCAGTTGCAAACAACAATTTGATTTCTGCTTAACAGACTCAGAGATGGAGTGTTCTGTATCCTTACAATGTTTCAACTCACGCTATGAATGATGAAAACGACTTCATTCTCACTTTTGACACATTGGGTCTTTGAACATGTAATGAAGCTGTCATGTGTTGGTTGCTGCTGGTTCTTAACGAGAATTTTATGGAAATTGACAGACGGCGGAATGTTGTGGGTGGTGGGTGATAAAAGTCATGAGTTTCTTCACAGGTAATTTAAGAAATCAGTGTGGAACAAAGCATCATTAGCAAGAAAGAGCATGCTTTGTAAGCCATAATCCTCAATCTTTAAGGTTTAACCGTCTTAGCCTGCTAAATAAGGGAAGTTAAAGCACGGAAATGAGGAACTCATCGGGAAGTAGGACACAGATGCTTTTGGTCGTCATTACATATGTTAGTCTAACAGCTAACAACTCAAAGCTAAAGGTAACAAAGGGTCTGAATTAATATTCTTAGTCATATTCACTCTTAATTCTTCTGTGACTTTGATGATAAGACTTGTGGTGCTTTTCAATTAAGTGCTGCTTTCTAAAAGGGAAATTCTATTTTCTATACATTTATATTAGTACAGCCTGTCCTTTTGCTATTCCCTTTGTCCTTTTTATCATTCATTCATTCTCTCACTTGGTAGGAAAAAACTTGGACTTGTTTCAAAGGCTTTTAGAAATGTGATTTCCCCTCATAACAGAACCAATGTGTGGAAAAGTTTTGATAGAAAATGACTGAGAGGATCATAAGTTCGTCCCGTTTTTGCTGGTAGGAAAAAGCTTTCTGTTGTGGAATTGTTCCTTTCAAACAAGAGTCGTAGTCTGTCTGAGGAAGCAAAAGATTGTAAATGTATCAATAGAAGCGTGAGCGGCCAAACATGATCATTCAGACGGTGTACAGAGCTGCGCCGAAGGGGAAAGTAATAATCCGTTCACTAAACCTCCCTGAACCGAGAGCAGGGAAGCTGATAAACCTCTGAAATACACACCTGCAGGGGAGATCTGGATACACAACTTCAGAAACTAAGATGTTCTGGAAATTTAACCAGGTCAAATGTTACAGTGAAGAGTTTAATCAAATAAAAAAACTAAACATTGTTACAGTGATGATTCATCACAGGAGTAAATCACTCTGTGGACACCTGACACGCTCCTAAATGTAAAAAGGTAGGAACTTCCATAGATGTTGCCTTTGGAAACAATGGAAACAAGAAAATTTGAAGGATTTTATGGTATCAAAACGACTCAATTCCATGTTTGCACTTCCACTGACTCACAACATGATATACGGAAACACAATTTCTGCATACTTCTTATGCGACGGGGCACAAAAAGATTCAATACGTATCTCTTTTCTCAGCCAGTGAAAGGTTGAGATACCTTTATATTTTCTGTGTTCTATTGTAAGAGAAATGGTTTCCACGTTATTTCTCAAATCACTGAAAATGTGTTTTAACACTCAGGCAGAGATCTTAGACAGTGACCCCAAAGCGACATCACAGGATAACTGGGTTCATACACAACAGAAAACATATTTGTGCTCACCTGTGTCATGTAAAAATACTTAGAATCTTCTGGTTTGAATTTACGATTTCAAGGTAACCTATCACAAACTTTTCTTGTCACAAATAAAAAGTGCCCCTTTCCTTTCTCTTAGTGAACGATAAACTCCTCCTGGAGCCATCTGTCAACCTGCAACTGAGAGGTGTGGCTCCTCCCGTCCACCGAGTCTGTCCGATTAATCATTATAGATGACCTTTAGACTCATAAAATCATAAAACAGAGAGCTTTTCCTTCAGCAGCGAGCTTCACTTGCATTTGATAAACAACGCGGAAACAGACAAAAACAGAATTCACAATGCTTGAGTTTAGCTCTGTTGCTTCCAGGTCCAGAATTTGAGATGGGAACCATGGAGCCGGCAGCCTGTAAGTTATACTGTTATATACCAGTTATACTGGTGTTCCCATTATTTAACTGCCTTTTCCCAAAAGACGACTTTCTCCTTTGTGAAGCCACCTTTGGTGTTTCACTGTCTCCTTATTTTTTAACCGTGAAATGTTTTAAAATGTTTTATTTTGGATTCTGGTGTCTTTCTTCCTGTATAGGGGGTGAGTGGTGCTCATCACAGTTAAGGATTGTACTTCTCGGAGGCAGAAACTCGGGAAAGAACTCAGTGGGGAACTTAATCCTGGGCAAAGAGGAGTTTGTCACCAAAGAGAGGACCTCCTGCTCTCGGAGGCTGGGTCTAGTCGCCGGACGCTGGCTCACGGTGGTGGACACCCCCGGCTGGTGGTGCGATTTCAGGGCTCGGGACACGCCGAGGCTGGTCAAGAGAGAGATCCTGACCGGCGTCTCCCTGTGCTCGCCGGGGCCTCACGTCTTTCTGATAACCGTCAAGGCCGGCTCGGCCTTCTCGGAGAGGCGGCGGCGGGCGGTGGAGGAGCACGTGGGCCTGCTGGGGGACGGGGTGTGGAGCCACTGCATGCTGGTCTTCACCTTTACGGCCGGCCGCGAACACAGACGGGCCGAGGAGTGCGTGGCCGGAGGAGGAAGGGCCCTGCGCTGGCTGGCCGAGAAGTGCGGTCAGAGGTGCCACAGCGTGGTCTGCCAGGACGGCGCCGCGGCGACCGAGCTGCTGGGGAAGATTCAGGGAGTCGTGGCAGGAAATGGAAACAGAGCCTTTGAGGCGCGGGATGGAGTTTTGGTGGCAGCTGCAGAGGAGAAGAGAGGAGTGGAGGAGAGGGCTCAGCTGAGGTTTCAGAGAGTGAGACAGAGCAGATCTCTCATGCGAGGTGAGTGGAAGCCTCTCGAAGATTAAGGCTGCTGTACTTCACAAAATATTGATATTGGGGGGGTAGCTGGGGAAGGAGGAGAGGTTGCCTACTGTTCGAAAGATTGATGGTTTGAGTCCAGGATATCTCAGCCAACATGGCCTAATGGTGCATTTGGTAGCTTTTGTCTTTGAAACAAAAATGGATTTGCTCAATATTTCATTAACCCAAACCTTATGAAGCCTAACTGAGAACTTTAAGCTTTATAAACAAACTAATAAACAAATATAATTCACGTGTTTTTTTATATATGAAATCCAATCCAGACAAAAAAAGAGGAAGTGAAACTTTTCCGTCTGCACCACACAATGAAGGTCAAGCTGCTGCTTTGTTTAACTTCCTGCAGCTGAAGCTTCATGGAGTGTAAACAAATTAATGGCTGATACTGATCTCGTCATATAACCCGCACCAAAGAACAAATGCAAATAACGCAGACTTTCCGCTTTGCTTTGATGTTTCTGGAGGCTTGTTCACATTAAAGTAACCATCTCAAACACCACCCTGAAAGCTACAGAGCACAGTTTTTTTTTCCGATGAGAAAAAATGTATTTCTTTTGTTCTTTCAGAGGGTCTAAAGCCAGTCACCGATATCCGCATTGTGCTGCTTGGAGCTAAAGGCTCTGGGAAAAGTTCATCCCTGAACACCATCCTGGGCCGGGAGGGCGGGCGGGCGCCCGGGAGAACGGCCCGCTGTCACGCCGGGGAGGGCGTGGTGTTCGGGAGGCGGGTGACGGTGGTGGACACGCCCGGCTGGTGGATGAACTACTTCTGCGACGAGAGCTCCCTCTTCGACCGGAGGGAGATCGTGCTGGGCCTGTCCCTCTGCCCCCCGGGGCCTCACGTCTTCCTGCTGGTGGTCCGCCTGGACCGGGCCTTCGCCCACACCCACCGGAGGGCGGCGCGGGAGCACCTGGAGCTCATCAGCCCGCACGTCTGGAGCCGCCTCGTCCTGCTGTTCACCGTCGGGGACTGGCTGGGGGGAACCACCACCGAGCAGTACATCGAGAGCGAGGGCGAGCCCCTGCGCTGGCTGGTGGAGAAGTGCGGGAACAGGTATCACGTTCTGAACAACAAGACCAGAGGAGACGGCTTCCAGGTCAGGGAGCTGATCGGCAAGATCGAGGAAACCATGACCGGTGGCTGGCATTACGAGATCCACCGAAAAGTGTTGGAGGAGTTGGAGACGGGGATGAAAGAGGAGACGGAGAGAGCTAGAGAAAGGCAGATGAAGAAGGAGGAGCGCAGGCAGAGGGCCAGATCTCAGCTGGGTGAGTCGGAAACAAACGACATCGGTGAAGTCAGCCTTTTCAACAATGATTTTATCAGGGAAACGATAAGCCCTCTCCTAATGATACCAAACTTCTCTCTGACAGGGAAGCCCAACCCTCCGTCACTGATAAGAATGATTCTCATCGGGGGAAAGAAAGTGGGCAAAAGCTCCTGTGGGAACACCATCCTGGGCAGAGAGAGCTTCGACACAGAATCCGCGGATACTTCCGGCTCTGAAGAGCGGGCCACCGTCGCCGGCAGGACGGTGGCGGTGGTGGACACGGCGGGCCGCTCTCCGCTGACCTCCGACCTCCCGACGACCGCAACCTCTGCTGTTCTGATAGTGGTCAACGTCAGCTCCTCGTTCAAAGAGGCGCAGAGGGCGGCCGTTGAGGAGCAGCTGGGGTCCGGGGGCGGCCGGCTGTGGGGCAGGGCCGCGGTGCTGTTCAGCTACGGCGACTGTCTGGGAGACGCCAGCGTGGAGCGGCGCATCGAGAGCGAAGGCGAGCCTCTGCGGGGGCTAGTGGAGCGGTGCGGGAACAGGTATCACGTTTTGGACAACAAGAACTGGGGGGACGGGGCCCAGGTCAGGAAGCTGGTCGAGCTGGTGGAAGAAATGCTGGTCGCAGAGCATCAGCCTGCTGATCTCCACGGGGGGGATTGCTTGTGGAAAAGTGTCGAGTCAGCACGGGGGCAGCATCCGGACACAGATCTGAAGAAGCCCACGAGGAGCAGGCACCAGCTCCACCACGGCTGTGAGTAAAACCCAAATCCTGCAAGTGGAGACATTTTACCTTCGTTCTAATGTGAAGTCAATTGTGTTTATTCTTTCCACAGTGTCTATATCAGCTTCTTCCATGCCAAATCTGTCCCTGAGCTGCCCAGAGGATTCCGATGCAGCTCAGGCTGTGGCACTACCAGCAGAGAGAGCCGGACGGCAAACCGGATTCCCGGCCGTGGACAGACACGTGCTCCTGTCCTGCGTGGCCTCACTGCTGTCTGGTAAGCAAAGACCGGATCTGCCCGCCTGGTTCCCGGCTCCTCAGGCCCACCGGCTCGCCCCCGGACGCCGCGCCGTGCTTCTGGTTTCCTGCCAGACGCAGCACAGAGGGCCGCCCGAGCGGGAGGGGAGCGGCCGGACGCTCCACAGGCTCTCAGAGTCCGGGGGCATGCAGGCCCTGATCGACCAGTGGGGCGTCAGGAGCCTGGAGGAGCTGGAAGCTTTCATCGACTCATATTTCGAGATGGTGTGGGAGCAAACCATGGGCTCGTTTCAACCCCCTGAACCCGCCCGTCCCGCGCCAAAGCAGGACATCGAAGCTGAGGAGAAAGAGGTGCTTTTATCCATTGATAAGAAACTTTCAAAGCTGGAACTACTGGAGGAAATTAAGAGCAACTTGGCAGAGCTGAGGCTGAATCTGGAGAGCAGCCGGAGAGCCAAAGAGCTCAGAGACAAAAGCAAAACAGACTCCAACACTACTGTTGAGCCAGAGAGTCAGTAATCAAACACCAAGAAAGAAATAGACGATCAATTAAGATTTTATGGCATGGAATTCAATTTAAGTGGGGGATTTTTGTTGTTGTAAACGTAACTAAAGAAGCAATAAAGTGAGATCTGCTTCAGTTTTATCTCCACCAGAGGGAGCTGTAGGATAACAGTGAGTTACTTGTCTGGTTTTACTCCCTTGGAAAATATTTCAAATTTTAAATTTTTGAGATTATGCCAGCTTTGAGATCAGCAAAGACAGTGGTGAGCATTACCAATTCACCAAACACATCAGGAAATAAAAATCTTTATTTATTTGAGACGTTTTTTTGTTTGTTGCTTTGTTTGTTGCTTTGTTCTGTTCTCCGAAGGTCAGAAAAGTTCTGGGATGTGGACGTTTGGTTGGATGAGTTGTGAAGTTTATCACTGATATCTGACTTGACAATCTGTGAAGGTTAGCAAACAGAAAGCCAACCTGATTCCTACAACAATAAAATATAACCAGAAATTCTGATGAGACCATAAAGAGACAAGTGCAATGCAACTTTACACTGACACCTGATATAGATTTTAATGGAAAACTTTCGGAATAAAACTACAAGTGGTGTCTTTGGGTGTTTTTTTTTTTAAACCAGATTTTGGATCATGGTTGGACAATGGTAAGACCTTGGCTAAATCTGATTATTTATTATTGAGGACTAGAGCTTCAAACATAGCAGCAAAATGGATTTCAACAGCTATGCAAAGGGTTCTACACCCTGTAAAGAAAACTGTGGCTTCTTAAATTGGTGGAAATGAAATACACACCTATATAGAGGAGCAAAACTACACTTGTGTTAATGCACGCTTGCAAGATTTACTTTGTACCTTTTGAAGCCTGTCTGGAGCTTGCTTTCTTTGAAGAGCTGAAAATTCAATAGACAAAGCCAAAAGAAGTCAAAGTTTAGAGAGTAATTATCTTTTAAAAACTCAAATACGAGTTTAAGTGTAGCAGTTTTGAAACTACTGAGAAAAGAACCTTGTACTCTGCACTCGACTTTGTTATGGTTGTCTTTTTTATGTCAAACCCAAATGAAACGAAAAACTCACACATTCTGCTAATGAACAGCCTGTCCACTCTTTTTTTTTACCAGGTAACGTCAGCTGGGACCGTATTTGCATAATGACTCATTCTCAGTCACTTTGAATCGATCTGTGCAGGTCCAGCCTTTCAAAGAGGGAAAATCTGAATCTGTGTGCCTTCTAAACCCTCTTTCAACCAAAATAACTACCTGAAAAAACTAAGAATCTGACAGTGGTTATCAACCAGAAGATAATCTACTATTTCCCTTTAGAGAAAACACAGCGCTGTGCAAAATTATCTTCTTTTTTTATTTTGTTTTTGTAAACCCAGACTTTATCAGGGCCTTTTAAGTGACTCCCACTCTCAGCAGCAAGATGGAGAAGCTAACCGGACTCCGGTAGAATAAAAAGCTCGCTGCTCTCGAGGCTTAAACTCACATTTAAGGCAATGCATGGAGACAGGCAACAGTTTTAGTGTCTGTTCCAGGTCCCGTTTCCTCCTGCAGATATGGAAGAGTGACAGAACTGAAATCAGATGGCATCGAGAGTTAAGCTGATTTCTCTGAGACGTGGTGATGTTTCCAATCTGTTTCATTAAAGCTGGATCACACAACGATGCGTGTTCGAGCCACATGTGGTACAAAAGTGCTGAGCCCAACACAATCAGGTTAGGCTCTCTACTTTGGATCAACAACTGGTAAAATGTTCAGGATTTTTTTATCTGATTCCTGTGAGCAGGGAGGCCTCTGAGCAAAGAAGCAATGGAAACATCAAGACGATGAAGAATGAGGCGACTGGTCCAAATTACGAAGCCATAAACTGAAGTTTCCAAACCAAGACGTGTAAGTATCTTGACTTGTTTGGTAAAATGAGCCTACAGAGGGTCTACAGCTTTTCCGGTGAGTCTGTGGAGCTTCACGAACCTAATGTTGGCAATCAGTTCAAACCTCTAAGGCCTTCTCATTGTCACCACCTTTACTCCTAAAAAAAAGTCCTCACATGGGATCTGTGACATCTCAGTTTCAGTTTAATTTTTTTCAGGTACATTACACAAATAAACACTTGGCTGTGTTCTGTGTTGAACTTTCATTAATCACCTACAGGTCCTGAGTCAGCACTTTGTTTGTTGTTGTGCATCGACAAAATGCTTTCGTTTTTCCTCTTGTGTATCAAGAGATTACTTTAGTCTGTCCTGACATTGAAACTTTATGCTGTGTGTGTTGTTATGTTTGTGTTTTGCTCCTCTGAGATCCGTCTCTCTGCCCTGTTTGGGTCATGAAATATTGATTTACTGAAAAAAATGACAAATAACGGTCAAATGCAATCTTCCACGAGATGCGTAAGGCTTCTGGGAAGCATCCTGGGAAGGATGCTAATGACCAGCCATGTGGAAATCGTGGCTCCAAGATCAGGCATCGGGTTCTGGTTGCTCTCTGCCCACTGTGGTGGCTGCTTTCCTTCATCAGCCACATTGCTCAGGGTCTTTGGGCTTTGAACCAGCCGAATATAGTATTGTCTGAACCTCCCCTCACTCGCTTCTTATGAAGCCCTGACATCTGTAGCTTTGGTGGCAAAAAAAAAAGAAAAAAAAGAATAATGAGAAGTGAAACTCTGCCACCTCTTGAGGATGGACTTACTGGAAACATTACAGCCAGGCAGTGATTTGTCTGCAATCATGGCCTATTTTTCTCCATCAGCCGTCCTCCTGATGCTTTCTTTCTTTGCATCACACCTTTTTTTTGAACATCGTTACTCCTCCAGTCCCCTCTCCCTGCTGTCTTTTCATCTATCTTCCGCTGTTGCCAGCATGTAATTCCTCCATTAAGTTCTCCTGCCGTTTAGCCTTTTCTCTGTTCTCTCTCTCTCTCTCTCTCTCTCTGCCATCCCGTTCTCTGCAGGCCTCCGTCTCACGGTCTCCCTTCCTTCTCTCGAATCAAGTCGTGAGCGCTCAGCCCTCCCCGCTCTTCACGGGAGGTCTGGAGAAAAAAAAGGAGGAGGTGCGGGAGAAATGGATCTCCCCTCTCACTCCATGTTGCGGAGGCTGTTCGAGAGACAATTCTGAGCCCACATCCATCTCCATTAGCAGGACTGAGCAGTGAGCGGCGCAAAGCCCCCCCTCCCCCCCCCCCCCCACCCACCACCCGCGGCCCGTATCACGTTTCACTGCCTTCTATTTTTCCAGGTGGAGAAAGGGAGGCCGGCAGAAGCTGGGGAGCAGGATGGAGAGCGAGGAAGAGGAGGATGATTTAGATGAAGTGAAAAAGAAATGATCCATCCTCCTCTCCTCTTCATGCTCTGATGAGCTGACGTCCCACCGGCTGATGCCTGGGACTCAGCACAGAGTTGATCGTGCACCTCACTGGGGCGGACTTAACCCTATGATGCCATATGTATCATTTTTAATGCATACGGGTTCTGAAATCTTTAGCGTCTGAGACCCTTTGCATCATTTATTGATAAAAATGTTGTTCAAAACCTACTTGTACATAGTACACAAGGCCAGAGGACTACACCACAATCATTTAAATGTTAAAAGGGTCTCCCTATTTTTCTTAAATCGGGCTTTAAAGGGTTAACTTTCCTACCTCTACCGGCTGTAAAAGAGTGATTGAGATTAAACAGGATAACTTTATATAGAAGTAAAGAAACAGATGTGTCGATTCCAAAACTCAGAGGCTGGAACTAACAAGAAAGGAGTTAGTGATGCTACAAATGAACAATTTAAGCAAGAAATGAATAAATGAATGAATGAATAAATGAAAATGAGTCAGGCTTTATTAAGCACTGGGGCAAATGGCCTGTTATTCTTTTTTCAGAGATTTTTAAAAAGTTCCAGCAGGTCTATGCTGGTTACTTTTATTTTACTTTAACCCTTTTCACACTGACATCAGGCAGTGAGGGTCCTCGGTGAGTTTTATTCAATCACACAGAGCAAACAGAGGCAGCGCGGTACCATCCCAGCATCAGCTTTCAAACATCCTGCTGCTCTGCAGAATCTGCATCAGTGTGGGCTTCTGCTCATGGGTCAGAGGTGTGACAGCTTTAAAAAACGTGCACTCATACACACTAAGTGTGTTCTTACAAACTCATTATTTAAAAAAGCCCCGAAGAAAGACTTGCTAAGTGTGCCTGTTTTTATCTCCTTTCCTTTGTTCTTTTATATCTTCGAAGGATGATCCTTCAGAACATGCTAAAACATAAAAGATGTTTAGATTATTTTCTTGTGGGGAAATAAGGTCAACTTTTCTGATATAGTTCATTCAGAAATATCCAAATCTAAGCAAAATGCTTTCCAGTCCTGTAAATGTTAAGGCTTTTTTTACATAGTGGTCGAGTAAAATTAGAGTTTAAGTTAACGTTTTTGCTCTTGAAGCCCAAACATTTAACAATATCTGAAAATGTGTTGGTAAATATGATGTGCTCCCTGTAATTCTCAAACACCTAATGGAAAACAAGGCGTTGGATAAACAAAGACCAAACCGAGTCTTTGGCCTTGTGTGGAAGCTGGATAATTGCGTGACATCTTCCGCTCTGATCGGCGGGCGTCAGGAAACATGGGAAAGGACTGTGGGAACTTTTGGCCTCTCTGAGACCTCATTACAATCTCACATTTAGCCTGTGGGATCAATTTCGCTGGCAGGGTTCAGAACAGATGAATAAATCCAGGCTTCTCGAGAGAAGGTGATGGAGGAGTATATGTCAGAAGTAAATGAGGTACATTTGGCTTTACTGCCACCTGGCCGAGACCAGCACTACCCAAAAACACACACACACACACTCGAACACACACGCACTCCACTCCCAGGCCTCCCCTATTCCATCTTCCGAGTCCATGTCTGTCATTCTGCCCCATCAGGACATGCCGGGTCAGAGAAATGCTCAGGGGCAAAGTTCAGGAAACAATTAAGGGAAATGACAACACACCGGCGGACCAAATTCCAGCACCATTCTGGA